GACCAATAAAAAGCATTTAACTATCCATTAATTTTAGGTTAATTCTGGAAATGCTATGGGTCATTTTGCCTTATAGCCTTTCACCGGATATCAATGAGATTGTGTTGCATGTTATGTTGCATGCTGATATAAGCAACAACAGTGGTGCAGAGGACAATTCCAATATTTGTATCCCAGTACAACATGCCTTTACATTCTGGGACAGAAAAGGTTAGGCTACAGCAGTTTTTATTGAATAATTTAAATTGGTTTGCAATGAGTAAGTTATAGCCTACTTTGCGTTTTCGTTTAATTAAAAAATAAAAATAGAACATTCATAGCAAAGCGTCTTGAAACACACACACACACACACACACACACAGGAGGTCATTATGTTGAATAATACATAATGTGTGGAATGGATATAATATAGCAAGCTGAAACGTGGTTAAGAACCAAGCAAAACAAGTATTTTCTTTGTGTTGTATTATTATTTATTTTTTCAATTTTCGATAATTCTGGAGTACATACCGAATATAGAAGCAAATGTGGTGTAATTTTCTTGAGAATTTTCTATGCATGCCCCTTATCGTAACATCGTTTCACATAGTAAGTAAGCTTACTTTAATATTGTAATGCATTATTTCACAATAACCATCTCTATGTTTTATGCACGATATACAGAGGCTTAGGAAGAGATGCACTGGAAGTGAAAAAGTCCCAACATAGGCCTATTATTTACACAGATAATACACATTTCTCTAAAATATAATCATTACAAATCAGTACAAATTCAAATGTTCATGAATCCTGTATTGTAATTGCGTATACTATCAGATATGTAATTACAGCATGTGATTTATGAAAATAATAATAATTAAATAATTATATATTATATTAATGGTATTAGGCTGTATTATATAATATAGTATCCTATATTATATTAGTCTGTATTATTATGAACTATTATAATAAGCCTGTCATAATAATAATTCAGATTCTGTTAAACAATTATTTATTTAAGTTTTTAAGGGTGGAAACAAATAAACATTTGAATGCTACAATCACGGTGCGTTTATGGAATATTGTCGTGAAGACGCAGGGTTATTGTACGTTGAGTCTGTTGGGCCTCGAGAGACCGACAGATTGTGAAATCCACAATTGAATTATCATGACAATAGACCGGAGGAAAGAGAGAGAGAGCTTCTGCTAGAAAAACCTGAAAGGATCATAAGAACATGTGTAGGCCTTAGCCATTTATGACCAGAAATAGAATACATTTTACAATTCTTTGTTTCTCCTTTTAGTCATAATATGTCTAGTGTTGGCCTATTTCTCTGAAGCACGGCAGATATAGCCTACCATGGTTAACGCTGATAAAATGTATTATTTAATAATGTAGCAGTATTCTAGTTTTGTGTGGATTGAAATAATAAATACTTGCAAATAATGTGTTCTATTTCAAGCATGCGACTGATGGTAGGCCTATGATACAAGGTGTATGGGCTATAGGCGATATATCCACAACTCAACTATATTTGCCCTATAAATCTACATTTCACTTTAGCCTTTTTAGTGTCAAAATTATTATTCCAATTATTCAATTTTACATTTACATTTTAGTCATTTAGCAGACGCTCTTATCCAGAGCGACTTACAGTTATATTCCAACCCTTTCTTACCGTTTCTTCTAATATCAACATTACAATAATAATTCCATTACTTCACTATTTTCTCCGACTTTACTGTATCTTGTTCAGTCTCCTACATACTCCCTCTTCGGTCCCTCTCCCCCTCTCTCCCCTCCCTTTCTCCTCGCTGGCATCCCATTGATGCTGCCTGCGCAATTTTGCACATGCGCAGTGAGGTAGTCTCAGCCATCTGCAGGAAACCAATTAGCAAGAATAAAGAGCTAAGTGTTTTTCTCTCCTCTATGTTCAGACCTCACTCTACCTCTCCCCCTCTCACACCCCTCCGTCCCTCTGTTTACTGTAGATATAGCTTTAAGAAGACGATTTTAAAAACACAGAGAGGAGGACTCTGTTATGCTGCTCTCTCTGCGGCTGTCCTCTCCTGCACTCTCTCTGGTCCAAAGGGAATATGTGGATGTTCAGTAGACCCGCTATTTGACTGGATTACTACAGATACAGATACAGTCCAAGGAGTCCAGAGACGCCGCCGCCACCGCCGCACAGATGTGAGTCTGCGTTTGTTTTTAACTGTCCGCGATATCCCTCAAACCTCTCATTGGGAACCCCCAGCCGTTCCATGTATTTGATCTATTCCACAGCTAGCAAACCTGATTCAACGTGTCAACTAATCATCAAGCCCCGGACTAAGTGAATTAGGTGAGCAAGTTCAGGGCTACATGTTGTAGCCGAGGAGAGGTTTGAGAACCACTGGCCTATGCAACCCAGGTGATGATAGCTGTAGGGGTTCGTTGTTGTAGGCTACTGGTGCCTGTTAAATCGACATTCATATTAATTAATTTTATCCTAGACATAATTATTCTACACTACAGACCAGCGAATTGTTTATCTGAATGCAAATGAGTTTGTTTCTTCAATGCGCGTTTTTAGTGTCACATTTGTTTGGCTGTGCTGTTGAATGGAAAGAAGAGCGTTGTGCGGTTATAGGCTGTTGTGGTTGTTTTGTCTTGAGTAGGCTAAACAAAGACCGAAGTACGCTACAGTAATATAAACATCGTCAGTCACCATTCCAGTTAAATAATGACTGTGTTAGCTGGTGTAGCCTATATTGGTTAGCAGCAGCAGTTGCAGGCTACTGTCAGCGATAGTTCCAAGGTTTGGGAGTTTTTCCTGCGCTGACAAACGTAATCATCTACGTTTCCTGTCGGTTTCCTATTTTCAGCTCAGATGGTGAAGGGAGGTAGGCCCTATTTGTTTTATTCAGTCGAATTCCCGTTAACCAGTATCCCCCCCACCTCTCTCTGTCTCTCTGTCTCTCTTTCTCTTTCTCTTTCACACACACACACACACACACACACACACACACACACACACACACACACACACACACACACACACAAACACACAGCGCGCGCACGCACGCGCGCACACACACACTTTCCCTAAGTAATGGTTTTCCCTACTAGATAGACAGATAGTGGGGAATAATTGTGTAAATCATTTTAGATTTGTTATCGATAGACTCGGTTATTGATCTGTGTGTAAATGAAAACCTTTAGCGCCAAGGCCAGTAGAGTAGCTATAAGTTAGTAGAGGTAGACGTTCACCTGACAAAGACTATTGTTTATTGTGTTGCAGTAATTAACATTTAGTACTATGTGCATGCATTTCTTCCTTTATTATCCACAGTATTTTTGTTTTTTTTAAACTATCCCCCCCCCCCTCTCTCAATTCAATTTCAATTTAAGGGCTTTATTGGCATGGGAAACATATGTTAACATTGCCAAAGCAAGTGAAGTAGATAGTAAACAAAAGTGAAATAAACAATAAATATTAACATTAAACATTACACTCACAAGTTCTAAAAGAATAAAGACATTTCAAATGTCATATTATGTATATATACAGTGTTGTAACAATGTGCAAATAGTTAAAGTACAAATGGGAAAATAAATAAACATAAATATGGGTTGGTGTTTGTTCTGTAGTGTATTAAAGATGATGACTTTCTTAATGGAACCAGAGGGGATGTTTATCTTAGTTCAAAAGTAGCCGTTTGTAGGGTGACGCCCCAGGGGAGACAGGTGATTGGACCGCAGAGGGAGCAACCCATATTTTCACATTGTTTATAAGTATATGCTGGAGGGATAGGGGGTTAGAGCAGCCATTACAATTCGAGAACACTGCTCTCCGGGGGATCTTGACTCCTGTAACTCATGCTGAAAGCTTGTGATATGAATAAAACTTATGATCAAAGGTTCAGTATGAGCGGACTCCTTTGTTTATCAGCAATAATTGCCAGCATTTACTCGATACGACAGTTCTTCACTGGTTGCCCTTTTCTTGTGGCAACAGGTCACAAATCTTGCTGCTCTGATGACACACTGTGGTATTTCACCCAGTAGATAAGGGAGTTTATCAAAATTGGGTTTGTTTTCGAATTCTTTGTGGATCTGTGTAATCTGAGGGAAGTATATGTCTCTAATATGGGGCGGCAGGTAGCTTAGTGGTTAAGAGCGTTGTGCCAGTAACCGAAAGGTCGCTGGTTCTAATCCCCGAGCCGACTAGGTGAAAAATCTGTCGATGTGCCCTTGAGCAAGGCACTTAACCCTAATTGCTCCTGTAAGTCGCTCTGGATAAGAGCGTCTGCTAAATGACTCAAATGTAAATGTAATATGGTCATACATTTGGCAGGAGGTTAGGAAGTGCAGCTCAGTTTCCACCTCATTTTGTGGGCAGTGTGCACGTAGCCTGTCTTCTCTTGAGAGCCAGGTCTGCCTACGGCAGCCTTTCTCAATAGCAAGGCTATGCTCACTGAGTCTGTACATAGTCAAAGCTTTCCTTAAGTTTGGGTCAGTCACAGTGGTCAGGTATTCCTGTTTAGGGCCAAATAGGATTCTAGTTTGCTCTGTTTTTTTGTTCATTCTTTCCAATGTGTCAAGTAATTCTCTTTTTGTTTTCGCATGATTTGGTTGGCTCTAATTGTGTTGTTGTCCTGGGGCTCTGGGGGGTCTGTTTGTGTTTGTGAACAGAGCCCCAGGACCAGCTTGCTTAGGGGACTCTTCTCCAAGTTAATCTCTCTGTAGGTGATGGCTTTGTTATGGAAGGTTTGGGAAATTGCTTTCTTTTCTGGTTTTTGATAATTAGTGGGTATTCTCTCTCTCTCTCTCTCTCTTCTCTCTCTCTCCTCTCTCTCTCTAGGCTCCTCTCTCTCTCTCTCTCTCTCTCTCTCTACTTCTCTCTCAGCCGATCTCGCTCTCTTCTCTCTCTCTCTCTCGGCTCTCTCTCTCTCTCTCTCTCTCTCTCTCTCTCTCTCTCTCTCTCTCTCTCTCTCAGGTGGGGTAGTGATGCGTGGCTGCTGTAGGAGCCATTATGGACAGCGGTGAGGGAGGGAGAGGAAGGGATGGAGGGAGAGAGGGAGGAGAGAATAGTGAACCTGACATCAGCACCAAGCCATTATCTCATCCTTTCCTGACCCCGGAAGTGATTCCCTGTAATGGGTCGCCCTCTCGTACCTCAGCCCCGGCCCCTGCCAAAGAGCCCTCCAACCTGACCCAGACAGAGCAGGGGGGTGCAGAGGGGACCGCAGGCAGAGAGGAGACCCCAGAAGGGGAGGGGGGTGTATACTCACAGGAGGATGGAGTGACACTGGAAGAAGAGGAAGAGAAGGAAGAGAAGCTAAAGGAGAAAGAACGATTGTTACTAGTGGATGACAGAGAGGAAACAGTGGGAAGAAAAAACCTTGTACCAGCCCTCATCAGCAAAGACAGAGGAGAAGAGGAAAAAGAGAAGGAAGAGGAAGAGGAAGAGGAGGAGGAAAGGGAAGAGGCCATCTCAAACCAAAGCCAAACCAAATCCAAATGTAGTCTATTACCTCGACAGTGCCAGCACAGCTCTGCTTACAGCACTGTTATAGCCAGTGGCACATTGAACAGTAACACCCATATCACTCCTTCCTATTCTCCAAAGCACTCTACCTCTCCAAAGCTCTCATTATCACCTTCCAATTCTCCAAAGCACTCTACCTCTCCTTCCACCTCTCCAAAGCGCTCCATCTTTTTTCCCTCCTCTCCTTATCCTCAGAACGAGACAGAGGAGAGAGACACAGGAGGAGTGCAGGGCAATAGTCCTAGTTTTCCTCTGAGCTTTAAACTCCAACAGTCTGCCCTGTCTGAGTCCACCAGCACACACGCTAAGGATGATGGTAGGGCAGATGCCACTCACACTTCCCTTATTGCCAATGGAGACACTGCCAAAGTTCTAAAACCAAACAACAATCCAGAAGAGAGAGATGGAGAAAGAGAGGGAGATGGAGAGATGGAAATAGAAAGAGATGATGAGGGAGATGGAGAGCGAGAAAGAGAGGGAGATGAGAACATAGAGACTGTATCTAAATACCTCCACCCCTCTCCCTCCTCTTCTTCCTCACCCTCCTCTCCCGGCTCACTGAACAGTCACATGGCATTGATGCACTCCCGGAACTCCTGCAAGACACTTAAATGCCCCAAATGTAACTGGCACTACAAGTCCCAGCAGACACTGCAAGTCCACCTCAGAGAAAAACACCCAGAGTCTGGGGGCTCATGTGTGTGTGGGGGCTTGGGAGAGAATTGTGTTTGTGGAGGGTCAAGGGGTGTGTGTCTGTACTGTAGCACAGGGAAGGCCCACCCTCGTCTGTCCCGGGGGGAGAGCTATGTCTGTGGGTACAAGCCCTACCGCTGTGGTGTGTGTGATTACGCGACCTCCTCTAAAGGAAACCTCAGCATACACATGCAGTCAGACAAACACCTCAGCAATGTACAGGCAGCGGGACAAACACAACCTGCGCACAGCACACACACACACTCCACACACAGCGGGAGCTCCACTGTCAGAGACACGGCAGGCGATCAGGTGTACGGACACACACACCCCGAAGTCACGCAGCCCCCTGCAAACACACCGCTCTACCCCAGCCAGCCCCCCTCCCAGGGTAAGAGGTGGCGGTGTGAGGTGTGTGATTATGAGACCAGCATTGCGCGAAACCTGCGGATACACACCACCAGCGAGAAACACACACACAATGTGCTGCGCCTGAAACACACACACAACGTACTGCAGCTGCAGAGAAGCTACTACCTGGCCCACTGCAGGAGTCTACCTCCTCAACTCACACTGCTACACAGCATAGGTGAGAGACTACACACACACGGACACATACTCAGTAACTGTTCTGTTGGGCTCTGTTCACTGGCACATCAAGTTAGGTCGATACTTGATTATATCCATGCTTATATGTGTGTTTTTTCACGGCCTGTTTGTGTGTGTGTTCTAGATGGGGAGCAGTCTTTGGATATGCATCAACTAACAGCAGAGGAGCCAGTTGCCCCGGATTCAACCCTGACCCCCTCCCCCTCTCCTCCTCCTCCCTCCTCCTCACCATCCCCTTCTCCATCCGCCTCTCCCCCTCCTCCCCTGTCTCTCTCTCCCTCTTCTCCACTGTCCCATGGTGTGTTCCGGTGCCTGGTGTGTTTCAGTTTCTCCTCTGACAGTCTGGAGTCTCTTGGGTCTCACCTGAGCGCCCCCCGCTCCCTTCCCCAGTCTGAGTGGCGCTGTCTGGTGGCCGGAGGCTGCTATTGCAGGCTGTGTGGCTACAGCACCCCCCTCACAGCTAACTTCACCTTGCACTGCCAGACAGACAGACACAGGGCCCGCTACCAGCTGGCTGCCCACCTCTGGGAGAGAGGGGAGAAGGGGGAGGTCGTGGACTGGGAGGAAGTTGGGAAATTGGTTGCTACAGGCAACCTGGTCCAGCTGAAGTGTAACGTGTGTGACTTCCAGACCACCAGCTTGGAGAAACTGAAAATACACAGCGTCAACTCCCAACACCAGGCCAGCCTCAGAGTCTACAGGGTCAGTACAAACACAATAATTGCTGTTCTTGAACCATACGATTATGTAGAAAATATCTGGGATATAGACAGCAAATCAAACACAGAGACCAGATTTATTATGTACATCTTTTTTTCTATCACATCTTGTATAACCCCACCTCACCCCTCTCTCTCTCTCCCTCTCTCCCTCTCTCTCTAGTTCTTAGAGCAGTATGACAGTGAAGTAGATGGAGGCTCCTGGTCGTTCCACTGTGTCTTGTGTAATTACTCCTCCCGCTCTAAACTCCACCTACTGAGTCACACCCACTCCACAGGTCATCATAAGAGGGAGGAGCTTCACCACTTGCAGCTTATGAGAAGGAGGAGCCTGAATAAAGGAGAGGAGCTAGCTGCGATCTTCAGCATCAGGAAGTGTCCCAATCCTGAGATAGGTAAGAAACTCAGCTGCTATTTTCCAATTCCCTTCTCTCTGAAGTGTGCACTTGTTCAGTCCTCCTGAACAAGTATGGGATTATTGTAGACATTGGCGAGAGGGAATTTCGACCATATTTTGTACATCAGTCCAGACCAAATTTCTAAATAGGATAGAGAAAATTAACTGCAGGCCTAGGATAAGTCAACGGAGAGAAGAAATTAGAAGAAACTTGGAGAGATGGCGCAGTGTGAAGCGAGAGTGATTGAGAGAGAAGGAATGATTGATTATGGTCAGGGGTCAATTGGGTTAATTGATTTGTCAATACACAGGCTCGTTACATCCCCTATCACCCCGACAACGCTAACGAGCACCTACCGACTCACTGCTTTTGAACTGTAGGGTGGCAGGTAGCCTAGCGGTTAAGTGCTTTGGACCAGTAACCGAAAAGTTGCTGGTTCGAATCCCAGAACTGACTAGGTGAAAAAATCTGCCGTTGTGCCCTTGAGCAATGCACTTAACCCTAATTGCTCCTGTAAGTCACTCTGAATAAAAGCATCTGTTAAATGACTAAAATGTCTGTAATATTCCAGAATATAACTTTCAGGGCCAGTTACCCAGACACTGTCAATAGAGATTCTCCATTGACCATGCTTTTTAGTCCATGACTAGGCTTAATGAGGGTCAGCGAAACTAGACTTCCGAGTACCATTCAAATGACTCCTCCTTTCCTCTGTTCTATCTCTGTCTGGTCTAAATCTGGTCTAACTCTGTCTACTACTCTGTATTAAACAGTCAATAGCAGGTATTCGGTCTGAATGAACTAGTCTGAATCCCAGGAGGCTCTTAAATAGAAAATCAATACTGGATCAATCAGTGTGTGTGTGTGTGTGTTGCTGTGTATGTTGCTGTGTATTAACATATGTGTTATCTTTCTAGATGGAAGCAGTGAGGAGGGGGAGAGGAGAGATTCCTTATCCCCAGGCAAGCGATCATTCTCTGGGCTGGAGGAGACACAGAGCCCCCTCTCTCCCAAACGCCCCAGAACCGACAAGCACACCACTGACCAACAGGCTACTGCCAAGTGCCCACTGTGCCAGGACACACTGGTACACACACAGCTGAGACGTCACCTCACACTCACTCACAGTGTGGCCCAGGACTGTGTGGACAAGCTCATGAGCACGGTAAGTGTGTGTGTGTGTTCTAGCTACCTTTTATTAGCAGAAGTGCAATCAAGCTGAAGGAGCTTGTTTTTAGTGTCTCGAGCAAACAAAGAGTGCTCATCTCTCCACATCACCAACCTCCATTACTTTACCCAGCATGCTAAGTGCTCTTTGTCTCCCTCTCTGACTTCACTTGACTGCCTTCTTCCTTTTAGTCTTCCTGTTTTCCCCCTCATCCCTCTCTCACCCCTCCCTCTCCTCTCCTCTCAACTCTCTTACCCTCTCCTCTCTCCCTTTTTTCTCTCACTCCCTTTTCATATCTCTCAATCTTCTCTCTTTCTCTCTTTCTTCTCTCCACCCCTCCTCTCTCTCTCCATCTTTCTCTCTGCACCCCTTGTTCTCTCTCTCTTCCCCCCTCTCCAACCCCTCTCTCTCTCTCCATCTTTCTCTCTGCGCCTCCTCTTTCTCTCTCTCACCCCCTCTCCACCCATCCTCTCTTTCTCCATCTCTCTGCCCCCACAGCCCCCCATTCTCCACCCCTCTCCCTCTCTCTCTGATAGTAGTGTAGGTTCATTAATTCAGTCTGGGGTGATGATGGCCATTATGTTCCTCGCTTTCCAATTACTCTCTCAAGATTAAGCCTGACCTTCACTCTCTCACTGCTGCACCCGCATATGTGTATGCGTCTCTTCTGTCTCTGCCATGCCAAGTGTGTGTGTGTTTTCTTTCTGTGTGTGTGGTTGATTTAAAAACACTCTTGATTCTATTTCCCTCCATCTCATATTATTATTAATTCTAAAGTAAAGCGTGTAATGGGAGAATGAGGTGATGTAGACAATAAAGGAGCATCACTATTATTATTCCATCTGCACTATCAAACAGGAAAGACACTGTTTTGACTGACTATAAAGGCAATCAGTCATCTGGATAGGTTCAGACTGACGTTCAAAACCTTTGTTGTTGGATTATTTTCCAGGTGGCAGTGGAGCTGCCAGAGATTCTGCAGAAAGAGTCACTGCAGATGGAGTCCCATTCAAACGACTCCAACACAAACGAATCTCAAACAAACGATTCTAAAACAAACGACTCTAATGCAAAGGAGTCCCTCAAAAATGAATCTCAAACAAACGATTCTAAAACAAACGACTCTAATGCAAAGGAGTCCCTCAAAAATGAGTCTCAAACAAACGACTCCCATATAAATAAAGAAGAAGTGATCCCAGCCAAAGATGTCCCTGCCCTGCCCAACGCTCCCTGTGAGGACCAGCATCCAGCAGAGGACAACATCTCTCACCTCCCAGAGTCCCCCAGCTCTCCTCCTCCCCCCCCCACTCCTCCCTCTCCCTCCCTCAGCCACCTCCCTTCATCCGCCTTACCCCCCTCTCCTCCTAGTGATGCCCCTCCCCCATCTGATCGTCATAGTTACAGGTTCCGCTGTGGCAGGTGCAGTCTAGCATTCCGGACGCAGGAGAAGCTGAAGCTGCACTGGCAGTACCATGCCATGAGGGCGGCAACAGAGTGCCACCTCTGCCCCAGACGCTGCCGCAGCCAAGAGGCCCTGCAGAGACACCTGCTCAACACACACCTACAGGACCTACACCTACAGGGTACACACCCTGACCAGAGTGGAGCACACGTCCAACGACCAACCAGCCTGGAGGGGGAGGAAGAGGACGGGGAGAGTATGAGTGAAGAAGATACAGATAAGGAGGAGGAAGATGAGGAGGAGGGGGAGGGAGAGCAAGGAAAAGGAAATGAAGGAGAGGAGGATGAAAAGGAAGACCCAGATGAGGAGGAGAGGCCCAGTCCAGGGGTTAGTAATAGTGACAAGGGTTCAGGGCAGCAGGAGGAGGAGGAGGAGACAGGGTCAGAACCCAGCCCCTTCATCAAGGGCTCGAACCCGACTCTGGAGCGGTTCCTGGACCCGGCTCGGCCCTACAAGTGTTCAGTCTGCTGTGAGTCCTTCACGCAGAGAACCATCCTGCTGGTCCACTATAACTCTGTGTCCCACCTCCACCGAGCCAAAGCCAGACGGGCCCTGCAGGACTCCAGCCCCAGTCCTGCTGACACCCCCCAGGGCCTGGAACCAAGCCCCTACCGCTGCAGCCTGGCCCCTGACCCCAGGCCCTACCGCTGCAGAATGTGTGGGGTGGCCTACAGCCAGAGCTCCACCCTGGACATCCACCTCCGTTCTGTACTGCACCAGACACGAGCCCGTGCAGCTCGGACCCAGCTAGCACTGAACCCCCACTCCCAGCAAACTCCAGCTCCAGCCTCAGCCTCAACCCAGGCTCCCCACATCCCAGTCCCATCCTTAGTCCAAGCCCAGACCCCTGCCTCCAGCCCTTCGCCTGGAGGAGGAGAGGCATCTACCAGGGGAACCCCCCCAGCTGCCACCAGACCAGCCCCTGCCTCCCCAAGTCCCTGTTCCTCCCTGAGTGAAGCACAGCAGAGTGTGGGTGTCTCTGGGCAGGCTGAGGGTCAACAGGCTAAGAGGAGGAGAGTAGAGGACCTGACCACATCCGCAGGACAGCAGGACCTGATGTTACTCCAACAGCAATTAGCCCAGGCCCAGATACTACAGCAGCAACAGCAGTTAGCCCAGGCCCAGATACAGCAACAAACAGCCCTCCTCCAGCCCCAGCTGTTTAGTCCAACACTGCTCCCACACCTCCCCTTACTGCAGCAGAACCTCCTAAAGCAGCACCTCCCTTCAGTAGCAGAGAGTCTCCAACAGGGGAACCTCTTCCCTCCCCTCCCATTATCCCCAGACAGCCTGTTCTCTCTACAGCAGCAGATGCTCCTGTCCTTCTACCTCGCTGGAGGGCTGCATCTCAACCCCAACACAACCCTTATGAACCAGACCACCTCAGCTGTCTCCCCTCAGACCACCTCGGACCAACACCCCCAGATAGAGAGGCTTGAACCTCCCTCTCCACTGACAGAGACAAATAGCATCCAGTCTCCAGCCCAGGCCCCAAAATGTGAGACCCAGGCTGAGACCGCTGACAGTGACTCCCCCCTCCACCAGACAGAGAAAGAGTACAACCCATCCTCCCCTCCTGAGGGAGATGGAGAGAGGGACAGAGAGATGCAGGAGAGCGAGAAGAAGGAAAGAGCAGAGAAGGCCCTCAGAGTTCTGCTGGAGAGATACGGCTGGGAGCTGGCCCTACAAAGCACTCAGAGCAGACAGAGACAGCAGAACAGAGAGATGGAGGGATGCCTGGAGAAGGAGGAGAAGCAGTGTGGAGAATGTGGGAAGCTGTTCTCTGACTCTCTGATCCTGAAGAGCCACCAGGAGTTTGTTCACCGCCAGATGATCCCTCCTGTAGTGTTGGAGAGGTTCTCCAGACACTACAGGCTGCAGTATGACCGCCTCTACCCCCTCTCACCTTTCACCCCGGGGGACACTGAGACTACTGTTGTTGCACCCCTAACCCCAGCTTCAGCACCTGCACTTGCACCTTTACCCCCAGCACCAGCCTCAGATTCAACCCTCGACCAAGCCCAATCCCTCTCTGTCTCCCAAACCTCAGTCCCAGCCCTTACCCCAGCTGCAACAGCCGTAGACCCAGACCCAGCTGTGCCCCCACCTCCAGCATCCGTATCTGTAACCCTGTCCCCAGACCAAGCCCCAGTTAATTCCCTCTTCCCAGCCCAAGCCAGAGCCCTAGCCTCAACAACACCCTCTCCTCCTCCACACCCCCCCCAACCACAACCACTTTCAGAGCAGGACAGTACCACAACGACAACCACCCCTTGCCCTGACCCCTCTCAAACTATCATACACCAGCCCAAACTCTCCATGCCCCCTCTCCCCTTACCCCAAGTCCCCCTGCCCCTGCTTCCTTTATCCAACCTCCCCCCTCTTCCCTTCCCCATAGACCCCTCTCTCCTCCCCCTTGGTCTAATGCAGCCCTTAGCCCTCCAGTCTATGCTTCAGTACCAGTCCCTGTTATCATCCGGCCACCAACCACCCTTATCCCTATGCACTAACACACACTCTGCTCCTAGCCCAGCTCTACCCCCATACACCAACACACACTCTGCTCCTAGCTCAGCCCTACCCCCATACACCAACACACACTCTGCTCCTAGCTCAGCTCTACCCCTATACACTAACACACATTCTGCTCCCCGTCCAGCCCTGCCCTCTCTGAAGTGTAGGCTGGAGGAAGGGACAGAGGTTAGGCCTATGAGTGATGTGTTGGCCGGTGATGGAGAGGAAGGGGGAGAGAGGGAGGGAGAGGGGGATGAGCAGAGGAGGGATAGGCGCCAGAGGACCACCATCAGTGCAGAGCAGCTAGAGGTTCTGTACCAGCGCTACAGTCTGAACGCCAACCCAACCCGCTCTGTACTGGAGGGCATCACCAGTGACACAGGCCTGAAGAAACGTGTGGTGCAGGTACTTTATCATTCTCATAGTAACATTTATATAATTTTGTAATGCTGAATCATGTTTTGTGTAATAACATGTAATAATGCTGTGTTTGTCTGTTCTTCCTCAGGTATGGTTCCAGAACACTAGGGCTCGTCAGAGGAAGGGCCAGCTCCAGACCCTGGGGAGAGGAGGTTTAGGTGTGGGTCTGGGTGACAACCACAGGCGCTGTCCGTTCTGTAGGGCTTTGTTCAAGGCTCAAAGTGCCCTGGACTCCCATGTTAGGGCCCGCCACTGGTCCCAGACTGACAGACCTGCCTATGGCCTGTCTCATCAGATAGGTTCTGCTGATGACTTCAGCTTTTCTCACAACCATGGATCCTACAGAGACAGGGAGGGTCCCTCACTCTCCCTCCAGCATTCTCCCTCTCTCTCCCACCATCCTTCTCTCTCTCCCTCCCTCCATCCCTCCCCAAGCCCCGGGGTCGTCCCCACTGAGAGAAAATACATTTCTGGGAAAACAGATTTGACCTTTAACCTGAACGAACCCGACATGGAAAAGGAGGAGGAAGAGGAGGAAGAAGGTCTGTCAGTAAAAATATTCCCTTCGTCTGACCAAGCTCATGAGGGTAACCATAGCAATCTGTTGTCTCTGGGATACAATTATGGGATGGCAAGCTTCAACATTCAAGACTGTGACCAGAACACCAGTCCAAGTCTGTCTGAGAGTGTGGATAGGCATGGACCGAGACAGCAACAGCAGCAGAGGCAGCGTACACAGATGACCCCCCAGCAGGTGGCCAAGCTCAGAGCCTGCTACAGGGAGCACCCCACCCCCAGCCCCCTGCAGTGTGAGGGCCTGGGACAGCAGCTGGGGCTCCCACGCAGGGTAGTGCAGGTGTGGTTTCAGAATGGCCGGGCCAAGGAGAAGAGGGCAAGGAGCCTCAGAGTCGACCCCACAACAGGATAGAGGGAAAGGCAGAAGAGGACAGGGGAGAGAACGCACACAGCCATGAACCAAGTGCTTGTCACTCACAACAATGAACCAACCGGATGCCACAGAAGCCAAAGAGCATTCTACCAGTGTACCTCACCCCCTACTCAGCCCGAAAACATCACAGGGCAGACCTCCTCTAGAGCTTTAAGACACCACTCCTCTGTTCCTCCCTCTCTCCTCTCCCCTCCTCTCCTCCAGCCGATACCTCAGGAGTTAACCCCTCCATGCCAACAGATGTCCCTGTTCTGACAATAGAATCTGGAGAACCAGGAAACAGTATGTGCCCCTCCCACTTCTGTTTAAAGACTTTACTAGTGCAAGTATCAAACTGTTAGACGTTTTAGTGTATAGAACGTTCTTTCAAAGTAAAAGAAAACTGAAAGAAACTAAAGCAGCTACGGAAAACAAAAATAAAAAATATTCTTTACAAAGAGCTTCTGCAAAGACTGGCTTGGATTCCAAAGCTCGTAACCAAAACCTTACATGTCGTGGATTGTGTTGTCAACATGGTGGTTTTCGTTTCCAAACCACAGTACAGACCATACAGTGAAGAGTAGAACGGAGACTGGTGTGTATCAATAGACTGACTGGTCTACGTGGTGCTGAAGCAGACCTCAACCTTCTCAAGCCAATGATGACTCTACTGCACATCTACTGACCGCTCCTTATGTGGATAGTAGGCCAAATAGCACTGAGCTAAGTCCACTTTGTCCTTTATGTGAGAGGTCATATAAGAAGCTATTTTGATAACGTTCGACCAATATATGTCACAACAACTTTAACCAAACACCACACAACCCTGTCTGTGTTTAGTAAATGTTAATGAATATGAATATTATGGATTGACGGTCATTGTATGCTTTGATAAGACAAGTGTTATTTTGTGGTGTATGAGAACATAATGTAGGCTTTATGATGTGAAGTTTAGGTAAGATGTTGCCTTTTCTTCTTATTCTAGTAAATACCAATACGTTGTGTAATGTAATGTCTACTATACTCAGGCCAACTGAACTGTTTTTAATTTGGTCGTAGTATTGTACTAGTTTCTCTTCTGTTCCTTATGCCAGACACAAAGTCTGTTTTGAAACCTTATGATGTAAATATTGATTGTTCATATGGAGTTCCTATAATGCTAGTTCTAAAGAAACCTCTCTGGATTTGAGAGATCTGAGCTTTCTGACCAATAATTGATAGTTCCATTATTACAATGTTAAATGGTGTGAGGAGTACATTAATGTACAGTATGTAGCTTTTATATGGTCGACTCAGTCTCCCCTGAGACTGCCTCTGTTCTGACGGACCATACTCACTGATAGTTACTGACGTTATACTGATGAAAACTTTGGATGTTGTGTGCAACTAACTGCACTCTGATCTCGAGAGAGAGAGAGAGAGAGAGAGAGAAGAGAGAGATGAGAGAGAGGAGAGAGAGAGAGAGAGAGGAGCGAGCTCTCTCTCTCTCTCTCTCTCTCTCTCTCTCTCTCTCTCTCTCTCTCTCTTCTCTCTCTCTCTCCCTCCTTCTTCTATCCACAGTATTTTTGTTCTCTAACTGTAATACTATTACTGTAGTAATAATGATAACAAAAACAGTAATAACTATGATAATATCGAATGCTTTAAAACACAACCCAAAGACATAATAACACTGTAACATCGATGCATAAATCCCACAAAAACAACTTGAAAAGTTTACTTGATAATGTAACATTGATTGTTGGGAAGAAAGAGTGACTGTATCAGAAATGCTGTATCTGCCTCTTCACCAGGCTACTGGTGACTGTATACTGAAACCTCCATGAAAACCAAAACCTACTATTATACTAGGATGGAGGAGCACTTCTCAAAGCCAAACCCTCCAGGCCCTAGTGCACTCAGTAGGGAACTAAACCCCAGCCCCTAGTGCACTTAGTAGGAGTGTACTCAGTAGGGAACCAAACCCCAGCCCCTAGTGTACAGTACTCAGTAGGGAACTACTTCAGAGCCATTGCAGTGTGTAGAGTGGTTGAAATGTTTTCCTCCTCAATGTCAATGTCTTTATAACCAGATAGATTCTTCCATCTCAGTCTTTGAGAACGTCCAGTTGGCTGCTAACGTATTTTGTAATACTTTAATAACAACAAACTGTTATAACACCCATGATGCTGTTTATAACATGACCTTATATTCTGATGTTAACAAAGAGATACTTGGGGCTCCAGTATTTACTCAGTAATGTATGACTATGTGGACAGTGGTTTCTAAACAAAGATACAAAGAAGTTACAATGATACTACAAAGATAAGATACTTCTATACTTAAGATCCTGCATAACTATGCTATGGCAGGTTGGATTGTATCTAGCCCCAAACCCTACACAGGTCTGTGTACCAGTATGTTTCTGCTCTTGTGTCGCTGGCTTGTTTAGCCATGTTTGTCTCCGCTTTAAGCCAACAATGTAGCCATGTAGCCACTTAGCCACGCAGCTATGTAGCCATGTTTGTCTCTGCTATAGGCCAGGCAACAATGTAGCCATGTAGGGACATAGACATGTATCCCATGTACCTGGGTAGCCATGTAGTCACACAGATTTTAGCCATGTAGCTATGTAGCCATGCAGTGATACTGAACACAGAAACAGTCTGTCACCCAGGCTAACCTTCCAAAGGATGCTGACTAACTCTGTTTTACCTTTAGCTCTATATCTGACCAATGTTTACCACAATACCAATGATCTTTCTTCTGTACTGAAATTCCAAATACTGTACCACTTGGCAGTTATGTACATATTGTTTTTTTTATTCCTTTTCCTTATTTTCTGAATAACTGTAAGATGTAATAATTGTGTTGTTCCTGGAAGCTGTTGCCGTAGTGATAACCAAAAGATACCTGTGTTGTGCACCTGTCCAGTCTCTTGCTCCAGTGGTTAAGTTTGTTCCTTCTCCCCAGTTCTCGTATGGATGTGTGTTTTCTCCCCCTTCTCCTTCCATAGCCACTGAGGTAAATAAAGTCTGGTTTGGTGGACACATTTGCCCCATGTCTCGTGTGTGTGTGTGTTGTGGGTAGATCCCTGGACCCAGAGGTCAGTTCATTAATTACGTCAGTGACATCCAGCCAGATTACTTTCCTTTGTGACAAAATGATATGATGAATATTAATGACCTCGCATGAATTAAACTGCTGCTGCTGTTGATGATGCTGGAAGTGGGGCTGGGAAGGGGGGTTGAAGGGAGGGGAGGGTGTATGTGTGTGTAGGGGATATAATGTTATTGCTTACTCGTGTACGCATTTTTGATGCTGTTGGGGGGATAAGGGTACAGGGAGGAGGTTACTTTAAGGAGGGATAGTGGGGTGTAATGTCATACACTGGAGCATCAATGATACTGGGGGGGGGGGGGAGGAGACCAGAAGGGTTATAATGTCATTGGTGTTGGTGTGTATGTAGGCTCATTTAGATTTAGATTGGTTCTGTGTGAGCAGAGGAGAAAGGCCAGTTCATGTTTATTCATGAGTCCCTCGGCTCAGCCAGTTAAAGAGACAGGACTCTGTTTTCACTGATAACACCCCCACCCCAGCCTCAACCCCTGCCCTAGCAGATGCTTTTCCATGATTTATCTCAGTGTGTGTGTGTGTGTTTTTCACATTATCAATGTATCACGTTTTTATTCACCACTAGAAATCCCAGTACAGACACAGTCCTGATGGTAAACTGACTGGTGGAATACTATACTGCAATAGCCATATCACTAATGGTGTACAGTATTAATAATACACACACACACTGTAGGGCAGTAATCAGTGAATGTCATTGAGGGAGAGTTTGTTCAGCGCTTCATCAGGTATAGAGTGGTTTTTATTAGAAGATGTGCTCTCTATCCATCTTCTTAATGATTTTATAATGGTCGCCAGGCGGTTCTAATCAATCATATGGGAGAGATAGCCTGGTAACAGTCTATTTACAATGCGAATGTTCTGGAACACATTCTCTCCACAGTATCTGAAGGCTCTATATTGTAAGAGTGCCAGAATGTTCTGGAACACATTCTCCACAGTATCTGAAGGTTCTATAATGTAAGAGTGCCAGAATTGTCTGCTTTTTAGAAGCACCTTAAATGGGGTAGTTCACTCAAATAGTTCAAACAAATATGTCATTTTGTTATTTTATACTTTTTTCTTATGTCTACATTTGATCTATCTATGCCTTTTTTTCATGTTTATGCCCCACCCCCCCAACACACATACCCCTCTCCTGGGTAGCTAGCTACTTTACATCCATTATGAGATTTGAATGCTCAACAGCAGGACAGTGAGTTCAGCACGCGTCACTGTGGCTGTTACACACACTCACCCCGCATTATGCTAATCCTTATACATTCTGCACACAGACAACACCACATGCTCCCCATGATAGGGGGTGGGTCATGGGGGTGTGTATGTCAGGTTTGAGCAATTGTCATGCTGTCAAACTGATCTGCATGCAAAAAGATCAGCAGTCTAATTACATCGCTTATGGTAAATAGTGTTTTACGCATAAACATACACGCACACACTCACGCACACAAACACGCGCACACACACACACACACACACACACACAGTGCTAAGGTCATTGTGGCATCATTGAGATATGACAATCTGACTGTTTATGTGTGTTTCACTTCTTTCCACAGTAACACAGAGTTCAGAGAAGGGAAACTGGAATTGCAATGCTAATGTAAACCACATACACTCAAAAAATTAGGGGTTCAACAAGGGTTCTTCTAATATGCTCAAACCTTAAGGTTCTTAGCACTGAAAATTGCCCCCAAAATGTTCTTCCAATAACTCCATAGGAGGTGTGGTTCATCGAGGAACCTCCTTAGTTGGTGGGGGTTCTTGCAGGAACCTACAGTGCCTTGCAAAAGTATTCATCCCCCTTGGCGTTTTTCCTATTTTGTTGCATTACAACCTGTAATTTAAATTGTTTATATTTGGATTTCATGTAATGGACATACACAAAATAGTCCAAATTGGTGAAGTGAAATGAAAAAAATTACTTGTTTCAAAAAATTCGAAAAAAATAAATAACAGAAAAATGGTGCGTGCATATGTATTCACCCCCTTTGCTATGAAGCCCCTAAATAAGATCTGGTGGAACCAATTACCTTCAGAAGTCACATAATTAGTTAAATAAAGTCCACCTGTGTGCAATCTAAGTGTCACATGATCTGTCACATGATCTCAGTATATATACACCTGTTAAGGCCCCAGAGTCTGCAACACCACTAAGCAATGGGCACCACCAAGCAAGCTGCACCATGAAGACCAAGGAGCTCTCCAAACAGGTCAGGGACAAAGTTATAGAGAAGTACAGATCAGGGTTGGGTTATAAAAAAAGATCCTAAACTTTGAACATCCCACGGAGCACCATTAAATCCATTATTAAAAAACTGAAAGAATATGACACCACAACAAACCTGCCAAGAGAGGGCCGCCCACCAAAACTCACGGACCAGGCAAGGAGGGCATTAATCAGAGAGGCAACAAAGAGACCAAAGATAACCCTGAAGGAGCTGCAAAGCTCCACAGCGGAGATTGGAGTATCTGTCCATAGGACACTATAAGCCATACAATGCACAGAGCTGGGCTTTACGGAAGAGTGGCCAGAAAAAAGCCATTGCTTAAAGAAAAAAATAAGCAAACACGTTTGGTGTTTGCCAAAAGGCATGTGGGAGACTCCCCAAACATATGGAAGAAGGTACTCTGGTCAGATGAGACTAAAATTGAGCTTTTTGGCCATTAAGGAAAACGCTATGTCTGGCGCAAACCCAACACCTCTCATCACCCCGAGAACACCATCCCCATCATGCTGTGGGGATGTTTTTAATCGGCAGGGACTGGGAAACTGGTCAGAATTGAAGCAATGATGACGCTAAATACAGGGAAATTCTTGAGGGAAACCTGTTTCAGTCTTCCAGAGATTTCAGACTGGGATGGAGGTTCACCTTCCAGCAGGACAATGACCCTAAGCATACTGCTAAAGCAACACTTGAGTGGTTTAAGGGGAAACATTTAAATGTCTTGGAATGGCCTAGTCAAAGCCCAGACCTCAATACAATTGAGAGTCTGTGGTATGACTTAAAGATTGCTGTACACCAGCAGAACCCATCCAACTTGAAGGAGCTGGAACAGTTTTGCCTTGAAGAATGGGCAAAAATACCAGTAGCTAGATGTGCCAAGCTTATAGAGACATACCCCAAGAGACTTGCAGCTGTAATTGCTGCAAAAGGTGTCTCTACAAAATATTGACTTTGGGGGGGGGGGTGAATAGTTATGCACGCTCAAGTTTTCTGTTTTTTTTGTCTTATTTCTTGTTTGTTTAACAATAAATGATACAAATCCCCAAAAAATCTAAAAAGGAAAAATGCCAAGGGGGTGAATACTTTCACAAGCCACTGTAACTGCCCAACTAAAACATTTGAATTTGAAAGGACAGCAGGTGCAGGCACTGAACAATTTTAAGATCTCCTCAATTGAAGGTAAGGTTTGTCCCTTGTATGATCTAAATTGATATTGTTTCATGATGATGCCATCTATCTTTCCATATTTGTGCAAATCTTTCTAAAACAGAAAATGGATACAATTCAATGGATATCAATCAATAAAGAGGTAAGAATATGTATGCTATAAGAATATGTATGCTATAAGAATATGTAGGCTATAAGAATATGTATGCTATAAGAATATGTATGCTATAAGAATATGTATGCTATAAGAATATGTATGCTATAAGAATATGTTGAAGGCTAGCTGTATTGGGTGCAGATGACTGAACTGCTGACTTTTGTGTCTGTGTCTGCAGGTGTACAGACGAGGAGGCATACCAAGGTATGTCAATTGGTATTGGTATGTTATGCAGATCACATTTAGCATCCTCCTCCCTTACCTCTTCAATGAATATTCCATAGGCCTCCACATTATGGACAATGAAAACCATTATCAAACCAAGGTATGAATACTGTTGTGTGCATGTTTTGTTAAACATCTGTATAATTACTGTTTTTTGGATACACAGACTTCACCCTCCCTACACCTCTGATGAATATAACAGGAAACCTGTTCGATCACAATGTACTGTAAAATCATTCTAGCTATGGATACGGAGAAAATCAACACATTAACATCAACACGCCAGAGGATATACCCATTGGACTTGGGGCTCTGTTGGGAGTTTCCCTCATATTTAGATTTTTTTTATTTTGCTTTGCCACTAAAATCATAATAAACACTGACAACTAAAATATTGTGTTATTGTTGTTATTGTTATGCATATTATTATTATTATTATTATTATTATTAATCATAATAATCGGGGAGGGGGGGGGGGTAGTTAAAACATCTACCCCAAAAGGTTATTAGAGGATCCATTGAAAGGTGCTCTTCAAAGAACTTATAGGGGTTCCCCCAGAGTTTCAATTTGAAGAACCCCTATAGGATACTCCAGGAACCTTTTCTTTTTAGAGTGTACCACAGGAGGCTGCTGAGGGGAGAATGGCTCATAATAATGGATGGAACGGCGCAAATGGAATGGCCATTCCACCTATTCTGCTCCAGTCATTAATACGAGCCTGTTCTCCCCAATTAAGGTACCACCAACCTCCTGTGCCACACAGTATACTGGATGTGTTATGGGGGAATATACTTTTAAACTCCATACACAGGTTCCTTTTCAGTATCAAGTGTTCTTCCAGATTGAGATGCTGGTAATATCCTTGTTAGAATGATTGATTGTCTCTGACACATTTTAATTATGGCCGAATGAAATGGATTGGCTGGGGGACTATAAAACATTGCTGTTTAATAACGAGATTCTTTTTTTCTTTTTTTTCTTCATCCAATCCCTTTTCTGCTGGCCGCACCAAATGAGTCTCACCGTTTAATGATATGCAAATGAAATTCGCATGAACCCTATGATCCAGTCTGATGATTAAACTAAGATGGCGTTGGCTGCTGAGCATCTTCAAGTATTATATATATATATATATATATATATATATATATATATATATATATATATATATATATATATATATATATATTCATTGTGTGCTTGAAGCAGAATACACCACCAGTCTGGGGAGAGCAGGTGCTTGATGGAGAGATGACACTATTGTCTTGTGTTCTGCCATAAACATGTAACAATCCTTTATCAGAACATGTTCAATGGTATTGGTGAGATCAAACTGTAGGTAAAACCAGATTTACATTCCCTCTCCATCTCTCCCTCCCCCACCTCTCCCTCCATTACAGACTGTGTCCAGCTCCTCCTCTCCTGTCGTTTATTGCACTGTATTTGCATAATGAAGGCTGCGATTAATTAAGATCCCACAGCAGTCTGGAGGGAGGGAGAGATGGTGGGGGTAAAATGAGGGGTAGGGAGGGCATGGAAGGAGGGAGGGGATGAAGAGAGGGAAGAGGTTGATCCACTGCTCGTTAGTCTCCAGATAATCTCTGTGCACCCATAAATAAAATATTGCGTAATTCGGTCAGCTGCAATTTGATTAACTTCTGCGTTCATACATGTTAGAAATTGAGATCTGGCAAAAATGAAGTCTCCACCCTCTCAAAAGAAAACTCTCAGCCAAAGCCACCCCCGCCCGTCCCGTCCGTCAGTCAACGTGGGCACACCCACAAACCAGCCGAGGCGAAGCTGTTTAAGCCTGTCTTCGACCAATCATGACAAATCCAAATAACCAGTGACGAAAAACTAAAAAACCGAACTACTGCTGCGTGATCTAACACTGTCACATATCCCTTTCAGTCCTGGCAGATTCTCTCGGTCTACACGCAGAATCTGCACATCGGAGATTAGTCTCCAGACATGAGCATATCCAGTCACGTCCAACCATGTGGCACGGTTTAGGGGTGTGAGGTGGGATGGGGTGGTGGGGAGCAGGGTGAGGAAAATGTTGCAGCGCGATTAAATCACTAATTATGATTGGCTGTTGAAATTAGTCCATCACTTTTCATTATCAACAGAGGAGATAACCAGACACACAGACAGCAGCGCCTACTGCCTGGTTCTGCTTGTGTCTGTGGTCTGGCCTTTGGACTGCAGCAATCTGACTGGCAGGGAAAGAACACACATGGTGAATCCCAAAAGTTTAAAATCCATCTTCTCATTGATTCCTCCATCCTTGTTTTCTCTGTGAACTTGAAATCCTTAACAGGCCACCATATGTAAGACTGTCTCATTCTTCTTCTGCTGTAAATGTTCCCTCAGTCTGATACATCATACACTCTTAGAACCTAAAAGGAAACCTAGAACCTAAAAGGGTTATTTGGCTGTCCCCATAGGAGAACCCTTTGAAGAACCTTTTTGGTTCCAGGTAGAACCCTTTTGGTTGCGGGTGTAACCCTTTTGGTTCCATGTAGAACCCTTTCTACAGAGGGTTGTACATGAAACCCAAAAGGGTTCTACCTGGAACCAAAAAGGGTTCTACCTGGAACCAAAAAGGGTTCTCCTATGGGGACAGCCGAAGAACCCTTTTGGAACCCTTTATTCTAAGAGTGTATGAGATGCCATTGCCAACACAGGGGTTCAGTGTTTGCTGCTTAGCGGTGCAGATAATGAGAGAGGAGAAGGAGGTACTGGTAGAGAGGAAGTAGCAGTCTCATCCCTCTCCTTCTTGCTGTACTCCTGGGTTCATGAGGCTATTGTGCCCCCCCCATGCCTTTGCCACTCACTGGTTGTTGGTTGTTGTTGACATTTCGATCCCATCTGAAGAGTTGCATTGACTTAGCGGACTAAGACGTTTCAATCCCCAGGTTCGAACCGGTCTGTCACATAAGCATGTGTGACTGCTTTCTTAAGTATTTAACCAGCCTGTTAGCGGCCGTAAGCATCTGTTGTGTTGTGTCGTGTTTGGTGCAGTGCCAACTCTCTGTCTTTCTCCCCTGGTGTAGTGCCAACTCTTGGTCTGTCCCCCCCCCCCGAAAGATGCCATTGCTGGTAAACTGGCAACCGTTGCCCTGGCACTCCTCGCCGGATTTGTCCAAACAATCCAACAAACATTGATTAGCGATGAATCCTCTCTAGTGAATCTCCTCTCTCCGATCAAGACATTTCTCTGCTGCTAGCGCTGTTGTTTTCAAGCGTGCCACGGCAGCTGGCTGGAATGGCGTCCACTAGCTGGCACAGGGAGGAGAGAGCAATGGTAGCAGAAGAAGAGAGGAGGATGGAGGGAGTGGTATGGTGCCTGTCCTCTGAACGCCAGCTGCCATTGATGTGCCTCTCAAATCGCCCAGCAGAGTCCATGTTCTTCATCGTCCTCATTTCCATCCCTCCATCCTCACCCTAAATTCTCTACTTCCTCTCCTCATCCTCCTGGATCTAGTTGTCCTGTCTCGGCTACCCTCCAGGGGTCTCAAGGGCTCTTCCTTCTGTCTTCCTCCATCCTCTGCATCTACTCTTTATATTTTTTTAACCTTCATTTACCCCAGTATGTCAATTACGAAAAGAAAAAAATTTGCAATGCTGACCTAGAATCGGTGTATCTTGTCTGTCTGTGGGTACTGGTGTAGCAATGTGAAAGACTCTCTCTGTTCCTTTTCCTGGCCCCTCTCTCTCTCCACCACCCTCCCCATGCCAGTGTGTGGGAACCAGCCCTGAGTGGATGGCACCGTGCCAACCTCATTCGCAGCTCCTCTATCCACCGCCCTCTTTCCCCGTCTCTCTCCCTCCCTCTATATCTCCCTGCCTCTTTCTCTGTCTCTCCTGCTATATATCTCTATGTCTGTCTGTGTCTGTCTCTCTATCTGCCTTTGTTTCTCTGTTTTTATGTCTCTGTCTGTCCCTGTCTCTGTCTGTCTCTATGTCTCTCTCTCCCCAGCTCCCGGTGTGTTTTCAGGTGAAGCCCTGAAGGTAGTTTGATTACCCCCTCCCTCTGGGGTATATATAACACACAGCACACAATAAACACATGCACCAGGAATCCAGGAAAGGAATCCCAGATCCCCCACACACACAAACACACACAAACACACACGCACACACACACACACACACACACTGGCCATTACTAGATAAGACCACTGTAAGATTAATGAGAGGTCATTTTGCTCGTTTTTAAATGGTGTTCACTTCTCTCCTTCCTATTCTTCCTCCTATTGTTTTTCCTTTAAACTCTCCTTTATCGTCAAACAAAACATACTATAATAGATGGTTATTATGCTAATGAATGTCATGTATGTAGTCATGTAGTGAATATGCAAATAAAGTATGTAATTTATGCAAGGCTGGAGGGGGAGGATTCCTCCTATCTTCTGTTCTATCCTACATTATTACACACCTCCATTCTCTCTCTCATTTCCTTCATCCTCCATCCTCTCTCTTCTACTCTATCTTATTTTCTCTACCCTCCATTTTATCACACACACCTCCTTTCCCATTCTCCTTTTCTCAAGCCTCTATACTATCTCCATAGCCACGGGAAGTAGGGGTGCTGAGGGTGCTGCAGCTCCCCCTGAGAATAAATCAAAAATAATAATACTAATGAAAAAAAAAGATGAGTCTTGTGTGAACTAGGGCTTTATTACTCCTGTTTGAGCGGACAAAATACTCTTCAGCCCCCCTAAAAATCTTCCTGCAGCTATGACTATCTTCCTTCATTCTCTATTTCTCTACTATCCTCTTTTTCTTCAGGTCCCCTCCACCCTTCTCTCAAAGCATCCAGAAGTGGATGGTCTCTCATATCCAACCTCTGTTCTCCTCTCCTCTATTTTCATTTCCTCCCTCCTCTCTTCCTCTCTCTATTTCTGCTCTCTAAACATCCCTACAGTGATCCACAAAACCAACAGCTGAGTGTTTGATCAGGCTCTGGAATATGAACACTGAATTATATACCCAACCTCCACTGTGTGTGTGTTCCTGTGTGTGTATGTTAATGTTTCTGCTTCTAACGGTGTGTGTGTATTCCTGTAATCTTATTATGCTGTTCACGTAGATGGCAGAGTGTGTTGCTATGGCGGTTGCTATAGGGCTAGGTGGTCCCGTCGAGCACACATCACAGCTAGACTTCTTCTCTGATACCTGGCAATGAAGATAAGTGTTCTCTCTGTTTTATAGCCAGACTTCAGCTCTGATACCTGGCAATGAAGATAAGTGTTCTCTCTGTTTTATAGCCAGACTTCAGCTCTGATACCTGGCAATGAAGATAAGTGTTCTCTCTGTTTTATAGCCAGACTTCAGCTCTGATACCTGGCAATGAAGATAAGTGTTCTCTCTGTTTTATAGCCAGACTTCAGCTCTGATACCTGACAATGAAGATAAGTGTTCTCTCTGTTTTATAGCCAGACTTCAGCTCTGATACCTGCCAATGAAGTGGTGTTCTCTATGTTTCTCCTCACCTCCATTAACCCCTCAGCCTCTCTCTGTCCTCCTGCGCTCCACCAGCTGATTCACTCAATGCTTCTAAAGAGCTATCGACCACTGTGGGAAAACAGAGGAGAGACGGAGCGATAGAGAGAGGGAGAAGTAAAGAGAGAGGAGAAAAGGTGAGAGAGAACAAGAGAGAGAATAGGTGAATGGGAAAGTCTTTGCTATCATGGACCAAGTGCCGAATTGGGATGTATGGTTAAGGTTATGTATTTATGAGCCGTAACCATGGTTATGGTGAAGAAATAAAAAATATTCCTCCTGCTGTGGGAGGAGGATGCAATCGTGTGTATCTCTGTGTGTTTGGTCCCCTCCCCTCCCCCTCATGTTTCTACATGGCAGATCTCCCTAATATAATAACTGTGTCTGCATGTCTGATTTACACCAAGAGAGAGTACATAGCCAGTGGTTAATTACTGTGTGTGTGTGTGTGTGTGTGTGTGTGTGTGTGTGTGTGTGTGTGCGTGTGTGTGTGCGTGTGCAAGCGCGTGCATGCCTGTGTGTCAGAATGATTTATGAGTTGCAAATAGCTATTCCAGTGGCTCGTTTCTCCTCACTTAGTTTTTAATCTGTCTTTCCATTAATTCTCCTGGAGATGTTATGATGGGTTTTATAGGGGCGTGCACGTGTGTATGTGTGTACCTGTGTGTTAAGGAGACAGAGCCGAGGACAAAGACTTGGAGGTACAGAGCAACACTATTGTCTGCTCATTTACTCTTTATCTCTCTCCCCTCTCTCTCCTGCGCTCCTCTCTTCTCCTTTCACCTCTCTCTCTCTCTCTCTTTGATCTCTTAGGTATGCATTCAAAACAGATCTTTATTGATAGCACAAGACAGCAGAGGGAAACAGCAGGTCAATGTGTTTAGCCTGAGGGCAGATTGGTCCATTCACTGATCTGTCTGTTAGTGAGAAACTGAGAGAGAAGCCAGCTAATCTCCCCCTGTTCTCTATTGATCACACACTTAGAGACTACATACCCTGTCTAAACACTATTGATCTCTCTCTCCCTCTCTCGCATCCCTTCTGTATAGTATGAGGATCAAGAGAATAAATTAAAGTTATGAAAGTTGGTGGGAGAGGTTATAGGATGGCTACACTGGATGATGATGATGATAATCATGATGATTTGAGTTGTCTTTAGTGTGGAGAGGGGAGCTGAGGGGTACTCCGGAGCACCATGAGCGTAGGAAATGACTAATGGCTTTCATATTTTAGACTTGTGTGCCCTCTACTGGTCAGAATGTTGCATTGCATCACATCAGATTACAAAACAAGAGTTGGACTGTGTTTGTTTAACTAGTGATCAGCTGTTTAATAAATCGTTAATGTTCCACTAGATAGCATAGCCACAAAGTCAAAATAAGGACTACTTAAGTCGTTTTTTTGGTTATCTGTACTTTACTTTACTATTTATATTTTGGACAACTTTTACTTTTACTTCACTACATTCCTAAATAAAATAATGTACTTCTCACTCCATACATATTCCCTGACACCCAAAAGTACTCATTACATTTTGAATGCTTATCAGGACAGGAAAATTGTCCAATTCACACACTTATCAAGATAACATCCCTGGTCATCCCTACTGCCTCTAATCTGGCGGACTCACTAAACACAAATTATTGGTTTGTAAATTATGTGCTGGAGTGTGCCCCTGCCTATCCGTACATTAATAAAACACGAAAATGGTGGCATCTGGTTTGCTTAGTATAAGGAATTTGAAATGATTTATGCTTTTAATTTTACAGTTGATACTTAAGTATATTTTAGCAATTATATTTACTTTTGATACTTAAGTATATTTAAAAGCAAATAATCTTAGACTTTTACTCAAGTAGTATTTTACTGGGTGACTTTCACTTTTACTTACTTTCTATTAAGGTATCTTTACTTTTACTCAAGTATGAAAATTGGGTACTTTTTCCACCACTGCTGGTGGGGAGAGAGGACGCCGAAGGCTTCTTCTGTCCGTACTGGGACACAACGATACCCGGACACAGTTCCTGACCTGACGCTCATCCAGCCTCTAGCCACAGCTCACAACAACAGCCTGCACACCACCCTCAGCTCCATCTATCTGGAGTACTTCTCCAAGGTAGGACTGTGTGTGTGTGTGTATTTTGATAATCCAGAAAGGTATCATAGATACTCTCAACACAATTAGATTTGTTAGTTTGATAGTTGTGTTTTGTTTGTTGTAATGTATTGTATTTGTAGAGCAGAGACAGAGACTGTTTTGAACCTCTAACATTGTGAAGCTGTATATATGAGCATAATTGTCTGCCTGTTACAGGATGAGGATGATGAGCTGGCGGTGGGTCTGGCTCTGTCCCTACTAGAGGTCAAAGGGCAACATCAGACCAATACCAAGCCCCTCTTCCCAGACCCTAAACCCCAGGGTCCTACAGACACCCAGGCTATGGCAACCTGCAGACCCCAGAATAGCTCCGTTCAGAGTCAGTCATTATCACATAATGGTATCTCCAGCCAGCCTCAGCCAGCTCCTCTGCTCCAGGGTGTGAGCTACGCCCAGCTAGAAGCAGCAGGAGGGAGGAGACAGACTCAGGCTCAGCACCAAGACTCCACATCACCCAGAGGATCCTCTGGACATGGCAGCTCTCCTCAGACACAGACACCCAACCAAGAACCATACAGAGACAGACATAAAAGGGTCTAACCCCATTCAGGATGTGTGTACCTCTATTGCCACTTTGACATCCAATCTCAACCAAGCCAAAGATGAAGTCACAGTGGAGTGCGACGTGGACCAATTGGAGAAGCCAAAGCGCTAAAGAACCGGCGTCAACAGTGGAAGGGGTGTGGTCAGCAGGTGGTGGGTGTGCCTCGTTGCCCCTCCACTCCTCTTTGCATATCTTCTCCAAGTCATTAAGGTTTCGAGGCTGACGTTTGGCAACTCGAACCTTCAGCTCCCTCCACAGATTTTCTATGGGATTAAGGTCTGGAGACTGGCTAGGCCACTCCAGGACCTTAATGTGCTTCTTCTTGAGCCACTCCTTTGTTGCCTTGGCCGTGTGTTTTGGGTCATTGTCATGCTGGAATACCCATCCACGACCCATTGTCAATGCCCTGGCTGAGGGAAGGAGGTTCTCACCCAAGATTTGACGGTACATGGCCCCGTCCATTGTCCCTTTGATGCGGTGAAGTTGTCCTGTCTCCTTAGCAGAAAAACACCCCCAAAGCATAATATTTCCACCTCCATGTTTGACAGTGGGGATGGTGTTCTTGGGGTCATAGGCAGCATTCCTCCTCCTCCAAACACGGCGAGTTGAGTTGATGCCAAAGAACTCCATTTTGGTCTCATCTGACAACAACACTTTCACCCAGTTCTCCTCTGAATCATTCTGATGTTCATTGTCAAACTTCAGACGGGCATGTATATGTGCTTTCTTGAGCAGGGGGACCTTGCGGGCGCTGCAGGATTTCAGTCCTTCACGGCGTAGTGTGTTACCAATTGTTTTCTTGGTGACTATGGTCCCAGCTGCCTTGAGATCATTGACAAGATCCTCCTGTGTAGTTCTGGGCTGATTCCTCATCGTTCTCATGATCATTGCAACTCCACGTGGTGAGATCTTGCATGGAGCCCCAGGCCGAGGGAGATTGACAGTTATTTTGTGTTTCTTCCATTTGCGAATAATCGCACCAACTGTTGTCACCTTCTCACCAAGCTGCTTGGCGATGGTCGTGTAGCCCATTCCAGCCTTGTGTAGGTCTACAATCTTGTCCCTGACATCCTTGGAGAGCTCATTGGCCATGGTGGAGAGTTTGGAATCTGATTGATTGCTTCTGTGGACAGGTGTCTTTTATACAGGTAACAAGCTGAGATTAGGAGCACTGAGTGTGCTCCTAATCTAAGCTCGTTACCTGTATAAAAGACACCTGGGAGCCAGAAATCTTTCTGATTGAGAGGGGGTCAAATACTTTTTTCCCTCATTAAAATGCAAATCAATTTATAAAAATTTTGACATGCGTTTTTCTGGATTTTGCTGTCTCTCACTGTTCAAATAAACCTACCATTAAAATTATAGACTGATCATTTCTTTGTCAGTGGGCAAACGTACAAAATAAGCAGGGTATCAAATACTTTTTCCCCCTCACTGTACACTGTTACTACTGAGGGGGTGGGACTCAGAGGTATGGTAATACTTTTACTATCACTACTACTATTAATGTGTAATATGACACAGCAGTAACTCTCTCTTACATGCACTCTACCTCCACTAGGTATTGGTTCTGTATCCCACTTCATGAGTTGCTGTCAGCAGAACCCTGCTCCGGGGTTAGGGGTTCTCTTGGACCCCCCAATATTGCTCTCCTCCCCCTCCGTGTGGCCCGGGGGCTGCCCTCTGAAGGGTCTGGGACTGGCACTCATGCCCCAAAGGAAGGATGGAACCACGGTCAGTAACCCCTCAACGTACAGACAGATTGGTCTGGGATATTGTTGTTGGGGTATATGTTTATGTGTGTGTTTGTGTGTCTGTTCCAGGTTGACTGGGCGGCTAACATCAGGAGTTCCTGGGACTTCAGTGAGGAGGGGGCCCAGTCCTTCAGCAGCCTCCAACTGCTCTTAAACACTAGTAAAACTAAATGCATGCTCTTCAATCGAACGCTGCTGGCACCCGCCCACCCGACTAGAATCACCACTCTCGACGGGTCTGACCTAGAGTATGTGGACAACTACAAATACCTAGGTGTCTGGTTAGACTGTAAACTCAACTTCCAGACTCACATAAAGAATCTCCAATCCAAAGTTAAATCTAGAATCGGCTTCCTATTTCGCAATAAAGCCTCCTTCACTCATGCTGCCAAACATGCCCTCGTAAAACTGACTATCCTACCGATCCTTGACTTCGGCGATGTAATTTACAAAATAGCCTCCAACACTCTACTCAGCAAATTGGATGTAGTCTATCACAGTGCCATCCGTTTTGTCTCCAAAGCCCCATACACTACCCACCACTGTGACCTGTACGCTCTTGTTGGCTGGTCCTCACTACATGTTCGTCGTCAAACCCACTGGCTCCAGGCCATCTATAAATCACTGCTAGGCAAATCCCCGCCTTATCTTAGCTCATTGGTCACCATAGCAGCACCCACCCGTAGTCTGCGCTCCAGCAGGTATATCTCACTGGTCATTCCCAAAGCCAACACCTCCTTTGGCCGCCATTCCTTCCAGTTCTCTGCTGCCAATGACTGGAACGAATTGCAAAAATCTCTGAAGCTGGAGACTCTTATCTCCCTCAATAACTTTAAGCATCAGTTGTCAGAGCACCTTACCGATCACTGCACCTGTACACAGCCCATCTGAAATTAGCCCACCCAACTACCTCATCCCTATATTGTTATTTATTTTGCTCTTTTGCACCCCAGTATCTCTATTTGCACATAATCTCTTGCACATCTAGCATTCCAGTGTTAATACTATTGTAATTATTCTGCACTATAGCCTATTTATTGCCTTACCTCCATAACTTGCTACATTTGCACACACTGTATATTTATTTTCTGTTGTATTTCTGACTTTATGTTTTTTACCCCATATGTAACTCTGTGTTGTTTTTATTGCACTACTTTGCTTTATCTTGGCCAGGTCGCAGTTGTAAATGAGAACCTGTTCTCAACTGGCTTACCTGGTTAAATAAAGGTGAAATAAAAAAAAAAAAAAAAAAAGTCACTTCTAGAGGCCTTTCTAAACGATGGTGAGATAAACACATCTCCCTATTTCTATGTGTATCCTGGAACGAAACAGCCATACAGAATAGATTCTGACTTGTGTGTGTGTATTCCAGGTGTGTACATGTATGAGAAGGAGTCAGGGCAAGCAGATGCCCCCAACACCAGCTGTCTGTCTCCTTACCTGCACTTTGGCCGGCTGAGTGCTCGCTGGTTGCTGTGGGACGCAAAAGGGGCATGCTGCCAACCCCCCAAATTCATACAAAAACTGGCCTGGAGAGACCTGGCCTACTGGCAGCTAACACTGTTCCCAGACCTGCCTTGGGAACCATTGAGACCTCCATACAAGGTAAGGGCAGGGTTAACACTGATCCTCTTCCTGGTTTGTATCCAATGAAAGCAGAACACTCACTCGCTTCCTGGTTTCTGTCCAATCAGGTCCTTCGGTGGAGCAGTGAGCGGGGTCATCTCAAGGCACGGCAGAGGCAGGACAAGTTATCCTCTAGTACAGTGTTTCCTAACTCCAGTCCTGTAGTACCCCCAACAGCACACATTTTTGTTGTAGCCTCGGACAAGCACATTCAAATTGTTGAATCAGGTCTGTTTGGGGCAACAACTAAAATATGTGCTGTTGGGGGTCCTCGACGACTGGAGTTGGGAAACACTGCTCTAGTAGACAGCTGTGGCTGACTGGATGGATGAACAACTATATGAGACACGTAGTGGCTTCTTTCCTCATAGCTTACCTCCATCTATCATGGCAGGAAGGATCCCGCTGGTTCCAGGTGAAACACACACACACACACACCAGAGTATAGAGCTGCAGAGCTTTGTCTGTTTAATTCATTCACATTTTACTGTGTGTGTAGGATACCCTGGTGGATGCTGACGGGGCCATCGATGCCATGATGTGGCAGAATGGAGGCATGTGTGGTCTAGACCACTGGAACTTTGTCATGCATCCTGTTGACGCGACCATGACCTGTGACCCTAACGGAAATTACGTCAGGACGTGGTGCCCTGAGCTGCCTGATGACCTCTTACACAAACCCTGGAAGTGCCCAACTTCCATGCTGCACTATGCCGGTGAGAGACAACAGCACCAGCCTTATCCTAACCTATACCGTTACCATAGTTACCCTTATCTGCCCGATTTACCCTAACCTCATTGTAATAACCTTACCATAGCCTTAACCTAACCTTACTGTAGTTACCATAACCCTACCATACTATAGCCTTGCCCCTAAGTTAACCCAACTCTCATGTGTTTCTCTGTATAGAATTGTGAGTGTTACACTTCCCTTATTACTCTACACTTTAGCTAAAGCTCAGCCTCTCCCTCTAGGTGTAGTCCTATGCCAGTCTTACCCAGAGCGTGTGGTGACAGATCTGGAGGAGAGGAAAGGAGAAGCCAGTCTCTGCAGGACGTTGCGTTGATGAGGAGGCGTTTTGGGGAGTACGTGGACCTGGTCCCCCTGCCCCTCCCGCCTGGTCTCGGAGGCCCTGGGTGTACGTCAACGCAATGCTTCTACTGTATCGTGTCTCATGAGTGGTCCTCAGTACCGTTTTTCCTGTTTCATTTCTTTTTTAATGCCTTGAGCCATTTTCTAGTGGTGTATTTTATGTACAAATGTCACACTGTGAATTTTGCTAAATTAAGTGAGTGACATAACTTCTCTCTCTTTCTCTCTGTCAGGGAGGTCTGGTCAACACAGATAGGCTGTTCCTCCTGCCTGTCATCACCCGCATGGAGTTCAACACCAATTAGATGATCCAGACGCGGACGCTGCCTCTAACCCCTACAACACTGTTCTGAAGAGTTATGTGAGCCGCAGGTGGGATGAGACCATCGCCTTCCTGAACCAGACAGACTTCATGGCCAGCGTGATGAACGAGGGAGCGGAGGAGGATAGACTGCCACGCCCCCATGTGGCCCGGGGAAGGGTTAGGAGGTCTCTGCTGCCAAGGCCAGGTTCTCCTCTGTGCCTGGGGAGTGGCTACATCTCACAGATGACCAAGAGGGCAGGGGTTAAAGGTCAGCGAATGACTACACTGGTAGAACTGTTACAAAACTGGGTACCACATAATGGGATAGAGGTTAAGGGTTAGTCTGTGTAACAAGGACAAACTGCTGTTTACATTAATTGGTTTACATTTCAGTCCTTTACCAAAGCCATTTATAATAAGATCATTCAGGCAGAATCAACCGCAAGCACTGCTCCTAGGTGTCATTGTGTTAAAAAGTGCAATATTTGTACCAAGGAACTAAAGCAAATATAATAAATATTAATGAAAAATTTAGATTTTCCTCGAAGATATTGTATAAAATATAAGTGCTGTCTTTCCAAACTAGTATCAGACTACAAAGACATCTCAGTGAAAGTACTCAGGGGGGATGAAGTGGACAGGACAGAGTAAACACACACAAGGAAGTGCAAGTCAAGAGTTTTATTTCTATGTCTCATCTCCATAGTGCCAGTACATGATGTGCATACAGAGGCACAACATATAGTAGAAACCAGCCTGCTCCAGATCCAAAGTGCTTTATTGTTAGTCCCTTCCCCTCCAGATGGACTGATCCTGACAGCTGTATTTGATAGAGTGAAATTCTGAGGACAATTTTTCCCAGTAGTGTTCAGTCTTGATGCTACGTTCATAACCAAGTGGGAAGGTGGTATTTACCACGTACGACTGGGAAAAATCCACTTGAACCCCCCTACAACTCGTAATTACTAGTGGGAAACTCGTCTATCATCCCTGAGCTCCGACTTCTGCTGACCTCTGGAGTCACCCACTAAGGAAATGACCTCAAACAGCATTTTCGGCAATTAAATGTAACAAAACATTAATTTATAAAAAGCAAATCTATTAATATGTTTTTGAACACTCATTTGTTTACAAGCATGATAGCTTGTCTTTTAGTTTGTTTGACACAGCTTGTTGGCCATTAGCCAACCAGCACTTCTCAACGAGTTAAAAGCATGTGAATACATCCAACTGGTATTCATTATTTCACAACTGGTATAATTAACACCTTCCCACTTAATTATGAATGCAGCATAAGTTCCTCATCCCCTGTGCTTGGGGCAGGCTTTGAGTGGAAGATTGAGGATGAATCTTAAGCCTTTTCCTCAATTATTTGTGTCCTCAACTCCTCAAAACATCAGAACAAAACCCTCTAATGTTTTAAGGAGGCGGAGAGAGGACACAAGGACTCAAGGGTAAGACTTGAGATTCATCCAGAGACTGCATCAGGACTCGTACAGTATCACTCCACATCAGCCATATCAGTCATGCTACGTGTGTAAGACATTTGCCCCCAGCATCCCCATTAGGTCACATTCATTACCAGTACACTAAAGGCTCCTAACATTCAGACCACAATAACACTGGTAAATCAATATCGATGCGCTCGGCTGCTCCTCTGGCGTTTCTGGTGGTTTCACGGTGTAGTGTCACATCTGACTCCCGGCACAACTGGTGCACTTTCTCTCTAGTAGCGATTGATAGGCAGGCGAGGGGGTGGGGGTGCTAAGGGTTGCGGCTAAGCGGTGCTAGTCTTCTATGGATCTGATGTATCTCTCATAAGCCTTCTCATCCATCAGAGCATCCAGCTCCTTAGGGTTGGCAATGGTCATCTTCATCAGCCAACCTGTCCCAGCAGGGGTTAGTCAGAGGTTAGCCTAGTCACAGGCCTTGTTTGAATATTATTTCTAAAATAATCGCTGATACATGCGTTTGTGTGCGTGTAGACTACAGTATGCATGTACAGTGAGCTCCAAAAGTATTGGGACGTTGACAATTTTGTTGTTGTTTTGGCTCTGTACAATAACTATGAGGCTCTGACGCTCGTCGGATGTGGCAGGGCTTTTTAAACTATTACAGAATACAAAGGGAAGCACAGCCACGAGCTGCCCAGTGACACAAGCCTACCAGACGAGATAAACCACTTCTATGCTCGCTTCCATGCAAGCAACACTGAAGCATGCATGAGAGCACCAGCTGTTCCGGATGACTATGTGACCACGCTCTCCGTAGCCGATGTGAGTAAGACTTTTAAGCAGGTCAACATTCACAAAGCCGCAGGGCCAGACGGATTACCAGGACGTGTACTCCGAGCATGTGCTGACCAACTGACAAGTGTCTTCACTGACATTTTCAACATGTCCCTGACTGAGTCTGTAATACCAACATGTTTCAAGCAGACCACCATAGTCCCCGTGCCCAAGGACTCTAAGATAACCTGCCTAAATGACTACCGACCCGTAGCACTGACGTCTGTAGCCATGAAGTGCTTTGAAAGGCTGGTCATGGCTCACATCAACACCATTATCCCAGAAACCCTAGACCCACTCCAATTTGCATACCGCCCCAACAGATCCACAGATGATGCAATCTCTATTGCACTCCACACTGCTCTTTCCCACCTGGACAAGAGGAACACCTACGTGAGAATGCTATTAATTGACTACAGCTCAGCGTTCAACACCATAGTGCCCTCAATGCTCATTACTAAGCTAAGGATCCTGGGACTAAACACCTCCCTCTGCAACTGGATCCTGGACTTCCTGACGGGCTGCCCCCAGGTGGTAAGGGTAGGTAACAACATCTGCCACGCTGATCCTCAACACAGGGGCCCCTCAGGGGTGCGTGCTCAGTCCCCTCCTGTACTCTCTGTTCACCCATGACTGCATGGCCAGGCACGACTCCAACACCATCATTAAGTTTGCCGACGACACAACAGTGGTAGGCCTGATCACCGACAACGATGAGACAGACTATAGAGAGGTGGTCAGAGACCTGGCCGTGTGGTGCCAGGATAACAACCTCCCCCTCAACGTGACCAAGACAAAGGAGATGATTGTGGACTACAGAAAAAAAAAAAAGAGGACTGAGCACGCCCCCATTCTCATCGAAGGGGCTGTAGTGGAACAGGTTGAGAGCTTCAAGTTCCTTGGTGTCCACATCACCAACAAACTATCATGGTCCAAACACACCAAGACAGTCGTGAAGAAGGCACGACAAAGCCTATTCCCCCTCAGGAGACTGAAAAGATTTGGCATGGGTCCTCAGATCCTCAAAAAGTTCTACAGCTGCACCATCGAGAGCATCCTGACTGGTTGAATCACCGCCTGGTAAGGCAACTGCTCGGCCTCCGACCGCAAGGCACTACAGAGGGTAGTGCGTACGGCCCAGTACATCACTGGGGCCAAGCTTCCTGCCATCCAGGACCTCTATACCAGGCGGTGTCAGAGGAAGGCCCTCAAAATTGTCAAAGACTCCAGCCACCCAGCAAGCGGTACAGGAGCGCCAAGTCTAGGTCCAAAAGGCTTCTCAACAGCTTCTACCCCCAAGCCATAAGACTCCTGAACAGCTAATCATGGCTACCCGGACTACTTGCACTGCCCCCCCACCCCCACCCCATCTTTTTACGCTGCTGCTACTCTGTTCATTATTTATGCATAGTCACTTTAGCTCTACCCACATGTACATATTACCTCAACTAGCCGGTGCCCCCGCACATTGACTCTGCACCGGTACCCACCCTGTATATAGCCTCCCTACTGTAATTTTATTTTACTTCTGATATTTTTTTCTCAAAACTTTGTTGTTGTTGTTTTATTGTACTTTTTTATAAAAAAATTAATGCATTGTTGTTTAAGGGCTGTAAGTACGCATTTCACGGTAATGTCTACACCTGTTGTATTCGGCGCATGTGGCAAATACAATTTGATTTGATTTTAAAGTGCAGACTGTCAGCGTCAATAGAAATGAATGGTAAATAACATAGTGTCATTTTGGAGTCACTCTTATTGTAAATAAGAATAGAATGTTACTAAACACTTCTACATTAATGTGGATGCTACCATGATTAAGGATAATCCTGAATGAATCGTGAATAATGATGAATGAGAAAGCTACAGACGCACAAATATCTTCTATATTTCTGCATCTGTAACAAATGCTGTAATTTCTAAATGGTTCACCCGATATGGATGAAAATACCCTCAAATTAAAGCTGACAGTCTGCACTCTAACCTCAGTCATTGTATCATTTCAAATCCAAAGTGCTGGAGTACAGAGCCAAAACAAATGTGTCACTGTCATAATACTTCTGGAGCTCACTGTATGTCTGCGGGTGTGTGTGTATGTGTGCTCACCGTCTTTGTAGCAGGACTTGTTGACGAGGCCAGGGTTGTCTGCCAGGAGTGTGTTGACCTCTGTGACTTCCCCGGTTAGAGGAGAGTACAGCTCACTGGCTGCCTTCACACTCTCCAACGCTCCAAATTCATCTAAAAAGAGGACAGCGATAGGTCAGGTCATGAACAGGTCTTGAGGAAGGCTACAGTTACTAGTATAACCCAAGAGGACCTGCGTTGTGTTACCGTCCACACAAGTCTGTAGGGTAGTAACTGCTGCTTACCAGTCTGTGCCAGCTGTGTGCCAACCTCTGGTAGTCCACAGTACACCACATCTCCTAGAGCCTCCTGCAGAACACACAGATTTAGATTATGATTTTCCCAATTAAATGAGATGTGTCAGTCCCAACAACACTAATGATCCATGATGTGTTGGAAGCGCCACAACAAACTAACAGCGGGTTGGTAAGAAGACCACAAGTCCCAATGGGGCTCTTAAAGAGATTCTCCGGTACCTTTGTATACTTTTTCGCCAGTAGTTCTGAAAGTAGCACTCACGAGCCAAATGTGGTCCACGAAAATTGCATACTAGGTCACATACGTGCACCACATCATTGCTCCCTCTCGCTGCTGTGTCCACTGTGCCGTTGGGCCCGCCCTGCAACCTCATTGGATAACGCTGAGCAGGCCTCTTGTTAGTTGTCACTCAAATGTGAGGGGCTGAAGCTCATTGGCTAGAACTCTAATTGCTAGGGGGCTAGCCAATGTGCAGGGGAATGTAGTGAAAATGGCATGGCACAGCTTCAAGAAAACAGTTGCTTTCATGGCTAATTGAGGTAAGACAGTAATTTTGCATGCATGACCTACACATTCAGCCCAAAGCAGGTTTAAATAATAATTTCTTAGTCGCTTAAGTACCAGAGCAAGTCTTTAAGAACCAGTGGTAGCATGCCTCTTGAACAACTCACCTGAGCAAATTTGCTGATGCCAACCGTCCCTACCTCTCCCTCTACTCGTATCCATTCGTGTTTGTCTGTGAATTTAAGAGCTGTGGAATTCAGGAGAAAATTGCAATTAGTTCGAGTAGCTACACAGACGTTGACACAAACCTAAAAAACTGTTATCAGTCTACTTCTAATCTACACGCTTAGCTAGCTAACTGCTGTTAGATACGTTATGCAAAACAAGAACGTCCTTGTTATGAACTAGCTAGCGTGTTAGCTAGCCACCTGTTTTGCGAGCTCCACAAGACAAGTAACGTTACCTGATGAAAGTCGGGTGGTAGTGGACAGAGTCCGTAGTACATATGCCCTGGATACCAGCCGAGAGGGAGTTAGCTGTGCCGAACTGTAGAGCAAGGGCAGGGCAGAGGTAAAGTTGGAAGACAAGCAACGTAGCATTACACATGTAGCCATTTTCGTCGCGTCTTTACGACTGCATTGACTGTCACGTTTTTTAGACGTCATCATCACGGATGCCACTTGGGGCGCGTTCAGCAGGGCACAACGTTGTGGAACTTTGAATACAAATATACTTGTGGCATGCCATTGTGTTATGTAATACAAACATGCATTTTTTACATGTACACTACCGGTCAAAAGTTTTAGAACGCCTACTCATTCAAGGGTTTTTCTTAAATTTTCTATTTTCTACATTGTAGAATAATAGTGAAGAAATCAAAACTATGAAATAACACATGGAATCATGTAGTAACCAAAAAGTGTTAAACAAATCAAAATATATTTTATATTTGAATTCTTCAAATAGCCACCCTTTGCAAACAAATCAAAATATATTTTATGTTTGAATTATTCAAATAGCCACCCTTTGCTTTGATGACAGCTTTGCACACTCTTGGCATTCTCTCAACCAGCTTCATGAGGTAGTCATCTGGAATGCATTTCAATTAACAGGTGTGCCTTCTTAAAAGTTCATTTATTTCCTTCTTAGTGCGTTTGAGCCAATCAGTTGTGTTGTGACAAGGTAAGGGGGGTATGCAGAAGACAGCCCTATTTGGTAAAAGACCAAGTCCATATTATGGCAAGAACAGCTCAAATAAGCAAAGAGAAATGCTGTCCATCATTATTTTAAGACATGAAGGTCAGTCAATAAGGAACATTTCAAGAACTTTGAAAGTTTCTTCAAGTGCAGTCGCAAAAACCATCAAGCGCTATGATGAAACTGGCTCTCATGAGGACCGCCACAGGACTGGAAGACCCAGAGTTACCTCTGCTGCAGAGGATAAGTTCATTAGAGTTACCAGCCTCAGAAATTGCAACCCAAATAAATGCTTCACAGAGTTCAAGTAACAGACACATCTCAACATCAACTGTTCAGAGGAGACCGTGTGAATCAGGCCTTCATGGTCGAATTGCTTCAAAGAAATCACTACTAAAGGACACCAAAAAGAAGAGACTTGCTTGGGCCAAGAAACACAAGCAATGTACATTAGACGGGTGGAAATGTGTCCTTTGGTCTGGAGTCCAAATTGGAGATATTTGGTTCCAACCGCTGTGTCTTTGTGAGATGCGGTGTGGGTGAACGGATGATCTCTGCATGTGTATTTCCTACCGTAAAGTATGGAGGAGGAGGTGTTATGGTGTGGGGGTGCTTTGCTGGTGACACTGTCTGTGATTTATTTAGAATTCAAGGCACACTTAACCAGCATGGCTACCACAGCATTCTGCAGCAATACGCCATCCCATCTGGTTTGGGCTTAGTGGGACTATCATTTGTTTTTCAACAGGACAATGACCCAACACACCTCCAAGCTGTGTAAGGGCTATTTTACCAAGAAGGAGAGTGATGGAGTGCTGCATCAGATTACCTGGCCTCCACAATCCCCCGACCTCAACCAAATTTAGATGGTTTGGGATGAGTTGGACCGCAGAGTTAAGGAAAAGCAGCCAACAAGTGCTCAGTATATCTGGGAACTCCTTCAAGACTGTTGGTAAAGCATTCCAGGTGAAGCTGGTTGAGAGAATGCCAAGAGTGTGCAAAGCTGTCATCAAGGCAAAGGGTGGCTATTTGAAGAATCTCAAATATAACATATATTTTGATTTGTTTAACACTTTTTTTGGTTACTACATGATTCCATATGTGTTATTTCATAGTTTTGATGTCTTCACTATTATTCTACATTGTAGAAAATAGTAAAAATAAAGAAAAACCCTTGAATGAGTAGGTGTTCTAAAACGTTTGACCGGTAGTGTAGAATACAGATAGGCCTATATCCACAGAGTAACATGTGAATACTTTTTTCGATATGGTCAATGGAAATAGAAAAAACAACCAAGTTGTTGATTTAAAAATAAAAATGTTACATTACGATGTAGTTTACCAATAAAATGGTCTGATGGTGATGTGGATATACTCGGAATACATATCCCAAATGAAATAAATGATCTCACTTCAATAAATTTTAATAGAAAGTTAGCAAAAATAGATAAGATCTTACTACCATGGAAAGGAAAATACCTGTCAATTTGTGGAAAAATCACCCTGATTAACTCTTTAGTATTATCCCAGTTTACCTATTTGCTTATGGTCTTGCCTACGCCTAGCAAACAGTTTTTTAAATTATATGAGAAAAAAATATTCAATTTTATTTGGAACGGCAAGCCAGACAAAATTAAAAGAGCATATTTATATAATGAATATGAATTCGGAGGACAGAAATTATTAAATATTAAAGCATTAGACCTATCACTAAAATCTTCAGTCATCCAAAAGTTATACTTAAATCCGAACTGGTTCTCAAGCAAATTAGTAAGATTGTCTCACCCACTGTTCAAGAAAGGCCTTTTTCCCTTTATTCAGATTACAACCTCTCACTTTCAGTTATTTGAAAAGGAAATAATCTCCCAAATGTCACTATTTCTAAAACAAGCCATAGAAAGTTGGTTGCAATTTCAATTTAATCCTCCAGAAACGACAGAACAAATAATGCAACAAATATTGTGGTTAAATTCAAATATACTAATTGACAAAAAACCTTTATTTTTTGACAGAATGTTTAAAAAAGGTATAATCTTCGTAAATGATATCATCGGTAGGACTGGTGGAGTTATGTCGCACATGCAGCTAACAAAAACATATGGAAATGTCTGCTCTACCCAAAATTACAACCAAATAATTGCAGCCTTACCGCAAAAGTGGAAGAGGAAAGTTGAAGGGGGAGAAAGTAAGGAACTTGTCTGTCGGCCTTGCATTAAAGAACATAATTGGTTAAGGAAAACTGTGATAAATAAAAAAGTATATCAGTTTCACTTAAGGACCAAAGGATTGACAGCAGTCCCATATAGATTGCAAAATAGTTGGGAAGAGATCTTTGACGTACCGATCCCATGGCATAGTGTTTATGAACTGACACGCAAAACGACACCGGATTCAAAAATTAGAATCTTTCAATTTAAATTATTATATAAAATTCTTGCTACCAATAGAATGTTATTTATATGGGGGATACAATCTTCCCAGCTCTGCAGATTTTGCTGTGAAGAGATAGAATCATTAGATCATTTGTTTTGGTTCTGTCCATTTGTAGCTTGTTTTTGGACACAGGTCCAGGAATGGCTAAAGGATTGCAATATTTACCTGGAACTAACCTTGCAGATAGCATTACTGGGTGATCTGAAAAGTCATAGTCAATCAATCAATAATATAATAATACTTTTAGCAAAAATGTTTATTTTTAATTCACAATCTGTAGAAGCAATGAGAATAGAAAGGTTCAGAACTTTTGTAAAACATCACAGTATGGTTGAAATATATATGGCAAATAGAAATCCTATATGGATGGTGTTAAGAGATAGATGGGAGGTATTGAATAGAGTTGAAGGATGGGACTAATAACAAATAACAACAAATAATAACAAAGATAGTTAATAATGTAAGCATACTGTGTCCATAATAAGTATATAGGTTGTATGTTGGGAGCTTTTGGGAAAGAGCACAGTTAGAAAGATATGGCATTTAGAAGCAAACCGGATGGACATCATGAAAATGATCGGAGAGGTTGAGAGTAGAAGAAGTTCAGGAGCAAAAAAATAAATAAATATATATATATATATATATAGATATAGAATTATTGTAAAATTAACTCTGTCCATAAGGTGTAGATAGTAAGTATAGACCGGAAGTAGAGGCCTGGGCGTTGTTGTTCACTAATTTACTCCAAGTAGGGAAAGGATGGTGGGGTTGAAAAGTAATAAAGGGGAATATATATATAAAAAATAAAAATAAACATGGGGGATTGGAAGTGATGCAGACAATTACATTGATAGAAGATACAATCTATCTGCAATATTAAGCTGATCCATCCCCCCGAAAAAAAATAAAATAAAAAATAAATAAAAAAATTGTTGATTTAGAGGAGAGAGGCTTCAGGGGCTACCATTAGAGGGCAGAGAGAGAGAGAGAGAGAGAGAGAGAGGGGGAGTATACTGGAGAAAGAAAGAAAATGGGAGAGAAAGAGACTGTAAGTGAGTATTAAAGAGGCTTTGCTGGTCCAATCCCTCAGTAACTGTCACAAGCAGTAGTCATCTGCAGATTATTTTCCTGAAAGCGTCCCTAGCAACCCAGTCACCCTCCCCTCAGTCAATGGTTTCAGTACAGCACAGAGTTACATTTAGGTAACCTGCCTACACAAAGCAGTCTGAGACTGATAACACACACCCCTCACCATGGAGATACTGGGAGGGGAAAGTGTGTTTTACAGGATCATCTCTCCACCCCCAACCCTTCCCTCCGCCCCTTCTCTATCACTCAACTCTCACTCCCTCTCTCATCTCTCCCTCCAGCCAGTTGCCCCCTCCTGCTTTAATTCCTCCAATCCTCTTTGTAGGACTGACGTCTGCTACTGTCACAAACAGAGCTAAGCCAGGAGAGGAGAGAGGAGGGAAAATAGGGTGGTAGTCTCAGGAACAAACTGCTCTCTATCTCTCACATTTCCACTAGCTCAGCTCCCAAAGCTCTCCAGGCCTCAGGGGGGCTGCTCTACACTCCCAGCTCCCTCTCCCTTTTGGGACTCACCACCCTGCCTGAGACCGGGAGACATCCAGGGGACACTCACTCAGCTTCACCCAGGACCTAGGACTTCAGCTCACTGCAACTGTATCCTCCTCAGAGGACTCCTGAGCCTGCAGCGTGACCCACCCTCCCTACTTCTGTCTAACGAAGAGAGAGGTAGTTCTCCATCTTTCTGTACTTCTATCTCAGGAACACCGGAGCTCCCACCCTTAGGCCTTATCTCCCATAGACTGTATCTGCAGAGAGACAGGAGAACACCCCAAAGACAGAGACAGGAGGATTTAGAGGAGGGCTATTTAATTGACACACAGTTGTGAGACAGCGTGTCTGTGTGTATTTCTGATAACGAGTGTGGCAGTGAATGGACACAGACCACTCGTGTCAGCAGTGTGTTAGAGAAATTACACACTCTGGGGAAGTCTGTTCTAGTTGGGTGTGCAGGTGTCCGTGATATGCCAGGTGTTAGTGAGTGAGGCATTGTAATTGTAAGGCATTGAATGTGCATTTGAGACTTGATAGAGGCCTCAAGTGTGTCAGAGGCATCGGTTGTGTGTGTGTGAGAGAGGTCCGTCAGGTCTGTATGCGTGTTTGTGAAAGGGGTCAGTCAGGTCTGTGTGTGTGTGTGTGAAAGGGGTCAGTCAGGTCTGTGTGTGTGTGTGTGAAAGGGGTCAGTCAGGTCTGTGTGTGAGACGACGGCCGTGGAGGCCTTAGCCCTGGATTTCTCAGAGATGGAGGGTCAAGGCTACGACCGGTTTGGTGAAGGTGAACTTGAGCGAGACACCTACCAGATCGACTACCGCCGTATAGTTGGTGACACTGAGCCCGCCAGGCCGCACCTCTCGCCCCGCGAAGGGGAACATACACACCCCAACTCCAACCCCCGTGGAGCCTACACACACACCAACCCTCACGGCCATGGGCACGAGACGGCTGCGCAGAGATACAGTGCCACACGCATCCAAGCTGGATACGAACCTGAGAGGTGAGCCAGACACACACACACACACAGGTGACAAACAAAACTAGTCAGCCTATACCATTCGTCATCATCTAAACTCCAATTGCTCTAACAATCAGTCAACAACTAGGCCCTAGCTCAGTCCCAGGTCCCAGACCCCGCTGGCCTAGTGAATTACTGGCTTTCATCTACATGAACAAACTACCAAACATCCATCTGCCAGTCAAGGTGTTTTCATTGACGTTGTCAGTGAGCTTTATAAATCCCAGTTAGCTGCTACCGGGAGACAGTGATGTAACTAAAGCCTCTTACCTGCCGCTTGACCGTCACACAGACTGAAATACTTTCCATTGACAGGGTTATAGAGTCTGTAGGTTCATCAACATTTCCACACTACAGAGCCAAGGTATTTATCTAATGGAAAGGTAAAAAACCACACTGAAGGTAAAATCATTTACATCATTAGGTGCTGTAGAAAGACAACTACGTACAGTATATTCCCTTATATCACGTCAAAACAACAAACTGTAGCTTACAGCAATACGTTCTCTCTGGATAACATGGTCTTAGGAGCATGTATTCTACCCAGGAGGTCTTTGAATTTTCACTGACAGCCTTGCAGGTGAAACATGGAGATACAGTATTATGCATAATTAAATCTGTCTATATATTTCAAGCTGCAATCTGTAACTTTTGGGTGACCCGACCAAATTCACATAGAAATGTTAGTTATAAATCTGTCATTAGCTTTGAAAGCAAGTCTAATTAGTGGTATATTTGTTCTATGTGTGCTATTTCTATGCTTCCCGTTAAGTTTCTATTTTGCATCTTTTACTTTCAGTTTTGTACACCAGCTTCAAACAGCTGAAAATACAATATTTTTGGTTATGGAAAATATATTTCACAGCGGTTTATATAGTACAATGACTCTTGACACTTGCTTGTTTTTTTCACATAAACTGAAATTAGGCAAACTTAGAATTTTAGAAAACAGGAAATGGCGGAGCGATTTCTGCATAGTGCACCTTAATCTGCACGGTTAAAACTACAAATCCTGCAATAGAGTCTAGAAGCGCTTCGTCCCTATATATGGTCAGCTGGGTTCTGTCTACAGTTGAAGTCGGAAATAGTTTACATACACCTTAGCCAAATACATTTAAACTCAGTTTTTCACAATTTCTGACATTTAATCCTAGTAAAAATTCCCTGTCTTAGGTCAGTTAGGATCACCACTTTATTTTAAGAATGTGAAATGTCAGAATAATAGTAGAGAGAATTATTTATTTCAGCTTTTATTTCTTTCATCACATTCCCAGTGGGTCAGAAGTTTACATACACTCAATTAGTATTTGGTAGCTTTGCATTTAAATTGTTTAACTTGGGTCAAACATTTCAGTTAGCCTTCCACAAGCTTCCCACAATAAGTTGGGTGAATTTTGGCCCATTCCTCCTGACAGAGCTGGTGTAACTGAGTCAGGTTTGTAGGCCTCCTTGCTCGCACACGCTTTTTCAGTTCTGCCCACACATTTTCTATAGGATTGAGGTCAGGCTTTGTGATGGCCACTCCAATACCTTGACTTTATTGTCCTTAAGCTGTTTTGCCACAACTTTGGAAGTATGCTTGGGGTCATTGTCCATTTGGAAGACCCATTGCGACCAAGCTTTAACTTCCTGACTGATGTTTTGTGATGTTGCTTCAATATATCCACATAATTTTCCTTCCTCATGATGCCATCTATTTTGTGAAGTGCACCAGTCCCTCCTGCAGCAAAGCACCCCCACAGCATGATGCTGCCACCCCCGTGCTTCACGGTTGGGATGATGTTCTTCGGCTTGCAAGCGACCCCCCCTTTTCCTCCAAACATAACGATGGTCATTATGGCCAAATAGTTCTATTTTTGTTTCATCAGACCAGAGGACATTTCTCCAAAAAGTACGATATTTGTCCTCATGTGCAGTTGCAAACCGTAGTCTGGCTTTTTTATGGCGGTTTTGGAGCAGTGGCTTCTTTCTTGCTGAGCGGCCTTTCAGGTTATGTCGATATAGGACATGTTTTACTGTGGATATAGATACTTTTGTACCTGTTTCCTCCAGCATCTTCACAAGTTCCTTTGCTGTTGTTCTGGGATTGATTTGCACTTTTCGCACTAAAGTACATTCATCTCTAGGAGACAGAACGCGTCTCCTTCCTGAGTGGTATGACAGCTGCGTGGTCCCATGGTGTTTATACTTGCATACTATTGTTTGTACAGATGAACATGGTACCTTCAGGCATTTGGAAATTGCTCCCAAGGATGAACCAGACTTGTGGAGGTCTACAATTATTTTTCTGAGGTCTTGGCTGATTTCTTTAGATTTTCCCAAGATGTCAAGGAAAGAGGCACTGAGTTTGAAGGTAGGCCTTGAAATACATCCACAGATACACCTCCAATTGACTCAAATGATGTAAATTATCCTATCAGAAGCTTCTAAAGCCAGGACATAATTTTCTGGAATTTTCCAAGCTGTTTAAAGGCACAGTCAACTTCTGACCCACTGGAATTGTGATACAGTGAATTATAAGTGAAATAATGTCTGTAAACAATTGTTGGAAAAATTACTTGTGTCATGCACAAAGTAGATGTCCTAACCGACTTGCCAAAACTATAGTTTGTTAACAAGAAATTTGTGGAATGGTTGAAAAACGAGTTTTAATGACTCCAACCTAAGTGAATGTAAACTTCCAACTTCAACTGTATGTATGTATGTATGTATGTATTTATACTGTATATATATATGTGTGTGTGTGTGTGTGTGTGTGTTCCAGCATGGCTGACTACCTGATCAGTGGAGGGACGGGGTACGTGCCTGAAGATGGACTGACGGCTCAGCAGCTCTTCTCTATCGGGGATGGACTCACATACAAGTAAGATTTTTTTTTATACATTCTAGTTAGAGAGCAGCATTTCCAATGATCTTGATTGAAATTCCAATAATTTTGCAATTTAAAGTTTATGACAGAGAGAGTCACTCAGCCTGGTCTCATAGAAGTAACATAGTAAACATACAGTACATCCGCGACACTCAAATTAGTATGATATGATATGTTACACCTTCTGCCTGCAGCCACACCAGCAATAGGTACATGACACTATCTATGGCAGCGCTGTCTACGGCCGTGGTCCTGAAACCGCGATCAGTCTTGGTGGTGAGCGCTGCTCGCGGCGCTGCCCATGGTGCTGAATTGTTTATGCGCCCATTAGAGGAGTTTTCCAGTCGGGATTTGTTCACAGTTCCCGATAACTCAGAAAGCTCAGAAATGCAGGAATAAGACCGTGCCCCCAGGTTGACTGTTGTGGTTGAGATACTGGAATTATTACCATCGAGTTTGGCCAACTTCAGAGCCAGGCGCCATGTTGTTGCCCTGAGCATTCCATTCAACCGATGATGGTCAGTATTAGCTAGTAGGCCTAGTTCTGATACTAGCAGACAGGTGCTCCTCCACCTAAATATGAAACATCTCAAAGATGGCTGAATATGAGGGGCTATGGCTGGTGTATTATCTTTATGACTACACTAATGTATCATAGATATAACAAATCCTCTCTCAGCAGAGACCCACTGTGACCTTTCAGTCAGTAAGACCTTATAAGTGTTAGTGTGATACTGACAGAGTAAAAACACTCACTGACTGCTGTGATGATATGGTGAAACCAGACCAGTAGAATAATCATCATTATGCATCCTTACATAAGAGGAATTTGTTTATTTTTAAATTAGAATGAGTATATTAGGCTTGTGTTATCAGTCCTAATGGAGGTTTACACAGAGAGTACATCATATCCTCACATCCAGTACAGCGGGAGGATTAGAAAGAGGCTTTATTTCCAGTCTGTGTGAGGTTGTGTGATATGCATAGTGGTTGTGGGTGTAGGGATGTGACTCTGTGCTGGCCAGGGGTCAGGGGACTGGTGCTGGGAGGCAAGCGGTGGGAAGTGTTCACACATCAGTTCCCTCACTGTTTGGCAGAATGATGTGTATCCGAGAATCGACCCTTTCAAGACAACATGATATGTCAGTAATAGTGGACCTCACAATGTTCTCTCTCTGTTCTATTTTTTTTTTGTCTCTCTCTCGCTCTCTTCTCCTCTCTCCTTCCCCTCTCTCTACAGTGATTTCCTGATTCTGCCTGGTTTCATAGACTTTATTTCAGATGAAGTGGTGAGTATCCAGTGTGTTTGGTTAACCTTTTCATTGCTAATAAACAACAGAAGCTACAGTATCATAGCCATGCTACTGCTTTAGTCAACTCCATTGCTGTTGTCTGGCATATTATGTCATACCCATCCCAGTATAGCCCTGTGTGTGTGTGCAGCTACTCCTCTTCTGTGGTCCTCTCTGTCTCCATCGCGTTTTATGTTTATCTCAGTTGAATAACGTGTACACACACACACACACACACACACACACACACACACACACACACTCAGCTGGTAACACAGCCAGCCAGACCACTTCACTCCACAACAACACTGATGAGAATAGCAACACCAGTCCCTCATGGCTGAGAGTCAGAGTCATGCCCTGTGTAATTGCTTTAGTAGGCTACAGGTGCTGGTGTTTTTAGCTTGTTTGTTCTCTGCTGGCAGAAGGGTATGTCTCCTGTGGTACATGACTGTACATACAGGACTGAGCAGGGACAGCTGACGTCCATGGTGCCACCTAATGGCAATGAGGAGGTATTGCATGTTCTGATTGGTCTTGCCTTACAGTCACAGATATTTGGTTGACAGGGTGCCATTATTTATGTAATTATGTTTTTCTTCTCGAATCACTGTGATGTGATAATTGTCTATTTCCTCCTCTACTTCCTGTTTCTAGGACCTGACCTCAGCTCTGACCAGGAAGATCACCCTGAAGACTCCTATCATCTCATCTCCCATGGATACAGTCACTGAGTCCTCCATGGCCATTGCTATGGCTGTGAGTATAGAGCCACTCCTCACCTACTCAGCCAGCCAACACCAATAAGACAATACCACAAATCTGTCACCAAACTTAATTTACTAGTGGTATTTTTGGTTGTGGTAATGAGTTTTTTTGTATTGCCATAAATACAAAGAAAATATATGTCTTGTAATACATGGACTCAGGTTGATGCATATTGAAGTCTGATTGGACAAATGTCTTGTTCGGCTATGTCTTGTTCGGCTATTGGTCAGTGCTCTGTGTGTTATAGCTCATGGGCGGGATCGGGATCATGCACCATAACTGTACTCCAGAGTTCCAGGCCAACGAGGTCCGCTTGGTTAAGGTAAGATGGTGGCTAGCGGTTGGACGACATGATGATGTGCAGTATATTGATATACCGTTACATCAACAGTATAAAGTCTCATGTCAAATGATGTTGTGACAATGTAACAGTACATGAATACACTTCAACTTGCTGGTTTAATAAAGACAAAAGTACATTTGCTGAATGATGTTTCTTGTTTATTTATTTGTGGTCAGAAATTTGAGCAGGGTTTCATCACAGACCCAGTGGTGATGAGTCCTCACCACACGGTGGGAGACGTGTTCGAAGCCAAGGTCCGCCACGGCTTCTCTGGCATCCCCGTCACCGAGACAGGCAAGATGGGCAGCAAGCTGGTGGGCATCGTCACCTCCCGAGACATCGACTTCCTTTCAGAGAAAGACCATGACAGACCCCTGGAAGAGGTGTGTGTGTATGTGGGGTGTGTGTGGATGACATGTTTGTTTGTACACGTCCAATATATTTACAATATATTGTCAACACATATATTGTAAACTGGATGAGTCTATTTCTTGTAGTATTGAATACTATTCCTGTGAGGTTTACTTGAATGGCTGATTCTTGCAGGCTATGACAAAGAGGGACGATTTAGTGGTAGCACCAGCTGGCGTCACACTGAAAGAGGCCAACGACATCCTGCAGCGCAGCAAGAAAGGTACCATATGGTAGTGACACAACATTTCCTGTAGAGACACTTTAGTCAGAGAGGACATTACAAAAGATCAATCTTTGTTTGGAACTTCTGTCTCTCTCAGGTAAACTGCCCATAGTGAATGACAGTGATGAGCTAGTGGCCATCATCGCCAGGACAGACCTGAAGAAGAACCGAGACTACCCACTGGCCTCTAAAGACTCCAGGAAACAGCTGCTGTGTGGAGCGGCCATCGGAACCAGAGAGGAGGACAAATACAGACTGGACCTGCTGATGCAGGCTGGGGTTGACGTGGTGGTGCTGGTGGGTCTGGGGAAGGGGTTGGGTTGTTATATTGTATTTTTGGTTACTTGTCCTATCTTTGGGTTCCGCTCCTCTCTAAACCCTGTCTGTTTACTGCTGTAGGACTCGTCCCAAGGGAACTCTGTCTATCAGATCAATATGATCAACTACATCAAACAGAAATATCCTGAACTACAGGTGGTGGGAGGAAACGGTGAGTCTCCTCTACCTTCTCTAGCAATGCCTCTTTCCCGTTAATCTCTCTTACATTTTCACTTTATTTTTCTTTGTCTTTCTTTCTTTCTTTCCCATTCTCGATTTACAATCTCTCTCACTCTCTCTCTGTAGTGGTGACTGCAGCCCAGGCTAAGAATCTGATCGATGCGGGTGTGGACGCTCTGAGGGTGGGGATGGGCTGCGGCTCCATCTGCATCACCCAGGAAGGTAATGACAGACAGGGGAGGAACAGCAAATGAGGAGAGGGGAGGAGAGGATGAGGACGGAGGAGAGTGTAGAGTTTGCTTAATGTTTAGTTAAAAACAACTATTTGTTGGCAAATTGCTGACACGTTGCTGACATGTTGCTTTGTGTTATGTTTGTGTTGTGTGCCAGTGATGGCGTGTGGGCGTCCCCAGGGCACATCAGTGTACAAGGTGGCAGAGTACGCCAGGCGCTTCGGTGTGCCCGTCATCGCAGACGGAGGCATCCAGACCGTTGGACACGTGGTAAAAGCTCTCGCTCTTGGGGCATCCACAGGTGTGTATTTGTGTGTTGAACCCACCAAGCATTATTATTAGCCTTTTCCCACAAACAGGAAAATCTACACCATACTATTGATGGTCTGACTTTTACCTCCTTTCACCTCTGACCTCTGTGCCCTCAGTGATGATGGGGTCATTGCTCGCGGCAACCACGGAGGCCCCGGGGGAGTATTTCTTCTCAGACGGCGTGCGGCTGAAGAAGTACCGGGGGATGGGCTCCCTGGACGCCATGGAGAAGAACAGCAGCAGCCAGAAACGCTACTTCAGGTAGAGAGAGAGAGACGGTGTGTCTTGTGTATTTGCAGTAATAGGGCTAAGGACAGAGGTGTGAGGGGGAGAAGGTGTGTGTGTGTGTGTTGTCTATTTGCAGTGATAGGGATATTATGATTGTGTGGTTATCTCGACAGTGAGGGGGACAAGGTGAAGGTGGCTCAGGGTGTGTCAGGGTCGGTTCAGGATAAAGGCTCCATCCATAAATTTGCCCCCTACCTCATCGCTGGCATACAACATGGCTGCCAAGACATCGGAGCCAAGAGCCTCTGCATACTGCGGTAAGTCTATGAATAGATGTTAGACTGTGATATTGTATTCGACTTTGATATGATCTGTGTGTCTTTGTTCCATTGTTGTGATATATTGTTGTACTGTTGTATGTTATTTCAGGTCCATGATGTACTCCGGGGAGCTAAAGTTTGAGAAGAGGACCATGTCAGCTCAGGTTGAGGGGGGAGTACACGGGCTCCATTCGTAAGTCTGCCCCTGCCTGGCTCTGGCATCGTTTACACATCCTGTCCTCTGGTATTTGTTGTAGATCCTGTGCTCCTCTCCTCTGTGATCGACTAACCTGTCCTGTTGTGTCCCATGTTCTGTGCCTGTGGCTGAAGTGTCCTTTATCTCTGGACTGGGTGGTAGTGTGTGAGTGAGTGTGTGTTTGTTCTCACCAGTGGCGTTCGTATCTCCTTTACTATAGGTTGTTTAGGAGTTGCTACTTTAATCCGGGATTGGCAGTCATACCATACAAGGTCCATTGTGGGGGCAGGCTTTCGTTCCAGCCAAAGCAGTAACAGCAGATGCAAGTAATTAAGGTTTGACTTAAGACTATGATTGGTTGATTTATTGTTTTGGATGTGTTACTGCTTTAGCTGGGGCAGAATCCTGCACCCACTCTGGCCATTTGTGGATAGAATTGCCTACCCCTGAGTAAAATAGTAGCACTGAAGCAAGTTAAACGTCACAATGTCTGTCTTCTCTCTCTTTCTCTGACTCATGCTCTCATCATAGATATTCTTTTGTGCCATGTAAGTACATTCTCCCTGTGCTCACAACTCCAACTCTTTTCCTACTGCAATTTCCTCTGTTTGTTACCTTTTGGTTTTCAGGAAGACCCAGAAGTCTAGGCCACTTTTTAAAGCCCTACCAATTTCTTAAAACCCTCAATCTAGTATATGTAGTGTAAAATGAGTTTCAATTAAGCTTGACTTATATTCCTGACTGTTGTCTCTGTGTGTTGTCTTCCTGTAGTTATGAGAAGCGGCTATACTGAGGGAGGAGGGAGAGTGAGCTCACGAGCAGCACCCAGTGTACCCACACCAGCAGCCACCAGGCACAACGGATACATGTGACCTACCTACAACCACTACTCAACCTCCACCCAAGTTATCACATCTGTCCTAACTACAACTACTACTCAATTCAACCATTACATAACCTTTTGGCTATACAAGGGAAGACCGCTGAGTCCTCTCCACTCGTCTCCCCCACCTACTCTTTCTCTGTGTTGTGTAAGATGCTTTTGAGAGACCTAAGAGTCACCTCTGACCTATGACTTGATTGATGTTATGACATAAACCACAGGGACTAGGGACTAAGATTCAATGGTCAGATGTACTGGGTCACGGCACAGAGCCATCGGGCTGTATAAGGTACGTAGCTCATGTAGAACTGTGACTACTGTGTACTGGGAGAGACTGTTTGAACATAATAATCATTTTATTTTTTTATGTACCCTGGAACTCTTTATACCAGTTCTGGTTGATCATGGTCCTAGGTCTCAGATGTGTTTGGAGCACAGGAGGTTGCTGGCACCTTAATTGGGGAGGACGGGCTGGTGGTAATGGCTGGAGCTGAATGAGTGGAATGGTATCAAATACATCAAACACATCCATGTGTTTTATGCCATTCCATTCGCTCTGTTCCAGCCATTATTATGAGCAGTCCTCCCCTCAGCAGCCTCCACTGGTTTGGAGGTACAGTAGTGTTTTTGACTGTGTGCAATAGCCTAGAGGTCTGTCAGTGTGGCTCTACTGTAGAGCGGACCAAAGCTAGGATAAGCTATAAGGTAAGCGTTAGCTTTAAATCAGGGATAACCACAGCGCCTTAAGACTGCACATGGAGGCTATACCAGTGTTGTAGTACTAGAGTCCAGGGGCCTCATTTATCAAATCTGTGGGTAAACCATGTGTGGGATCATTTCCACGCAAAGTGTGAGATTTAGCAATATGAGCGTTTGCTTGAGAGTATGCATACATTTATGCACAGCCATGACCATGCATAGGCACAGTGCAAAGTGGCGGAATAAGGGAACTGCTTGTCAAGCATAGAATGGGGAAAATATACTGTATGTTGAAAATGTGTGAAATTGTGAGAGAAATAATTAAATCATTTTTCGATTTAATTGTATTTCCATTGTGAATTCATGCAACAAATATTGACAGGCTATATATAATTTGACCATATCAGTACATTTGTTATGATAATAATCCATATAAAGTACGCTACAGTAATTTGTTAAATTAGAGGCGCGGGTGAAATACTATAAAAGTCAGAGATTATGGGAAATCGAACGAGAGATAGCTGAGCTTGCTCTTTTGGCACAAGCTGCGTTTCGTAGAGAGTGCGTTTTTAGAGACAGTTGGGACTTTTTTGCAGAAAGTACAGATTGGCTCATCAGATATCGTTTCCCAAAACCAATCTTATTGGATTTTCATTTAAGACCTACTTTAGAAAAGCAAACACATGCCATTCCGGTGCACATGCAAGTGCTATCCACCCTCGTGTTTTTGGCAACGGGAACTTTTCAGTGGGAGCTTGCCGATTGGAATCTCACAGCCCTCAATGAGCCTATGTTTTGGATGCAATCATCAGCTAAACGACCAGTCCATACACCATCACACATCAGGTTGAAGTCAATAGGGGTTTCTTTGCCATCAGCGTTCCCAAATATGAACGGAGCAACAGATGGCACCCACATCCCCATAAAAGCACCATCCCAAAACGAGTTCAACTATGCAGCCTCAGCCAGCATGTGAACAGAAAAGGCTTCCACTCATCTGCAGGTGATAGGTTAAGTGATGCGCAAAATAAGTTGCTGAATGTGGTGGCAAGGTGGCCATGTGGAAAGCACGACTCATTCATTCTGCAGAACAGCAATGGCCTATACGCCTACAGGAGGGAGCTGTTGAGGATGGATGGCATATTGGTGAGTAGCTACTCATTTTAAGTATATTTGCCATTGCTAAAGCAACTTCAACTGTACTAATGGTACTCTTTGTAGCTATGTTTACATTTTTACAGGTAAAACCACAGCTGAGCGAGTCAAGTAAAACATTTTGATTGTACTCAATCTCTGACACAAGGCAACTCTATTTCAGTCTCGGAAAAATATTTTATTTTCGTAGCTTTTTTTTGTTTGCCCGTTGTAGGCTATATTTCATGGTACAGAGTTGTATATTCCCCACAGGCATAAAAGGGATTATTTGGACCATATGTGACCCACCACCTTGATTCGGTTTTAGTAGAAACATTTGATTATTTAATTTTTTACATTGGATTAAAGTAGAGACTCAGAGCTACAAAATGGTATATCAGCCATACACTGCAGTTGAGGAACAATGGGAAAGTAATTCTGCTTTGAAAGTTGATAAACTTGTAACCCCACTTTTGAGAAAATTACCCTTGAATGTTTTGGTACATGATACACCTACTGGAGAGCTCTTTGTCTACACCTGTTCCGCATCGTTCTCACCCTCTTAAGCCTTAGCCCCACCCACATCTTTACAATAAGGAAAACCTAAAGGTAAAAATACACTTTATCTAGTCTTTGGCCTATATCCTAATCTGACTTTGAAAGTGTCCAGATACAAATATTTTATAATTATTAGATGATGCTTACCCAGACACTTGTCTACATTGATGGTTCATGTGAAAGAAATGCTATAACCACCCCCCAACCACATCTAGCTAAGTGGATGGGTCACTATTGTCTAGACATGTACACATGTTCATGAAATACAATATATGGCCATAATCAACCCCAGACACACCTGGCTAACTTGATGGGTCATGTAATCATTCTCTTGCGAAGTGGAGTATTTTGTTTAGACATGTAGCTACCTAGCTAAACAATTAACCATAATCCCAACCCATAGCTACAGTACAAACAGATTGTCATAGCTTGCCACTATGCATGAAATGCTAGAGTATGAATCTGCAGGTAGCTAAAGCTAACCAACTAGGTTCAATGCTAGCTAGCTAGCTAACATTAGGCTATAACTAGCAATGCAAATGGATTTCTGAGATCCTAATAATATTACTACACAGATCATACACGTAATTCAGCTAGCTAACAGTACGCTTTAACTTGCAATGAAAACGACTTTCTGACTAATTAGAAACGTATAATATCTGAAAATGTAGCTAGAGTCTTACCCGTATACATGGATGAACACTTTACGGCAGCGTGTCTTTTCCGTTTGGTTTGTAGCTAGCTACAGCTCGTTTGGCCCGTTGTTGTGTCAAGTCACTGCGGTTCACATTGACCTTGTGCAGAAAAGTAGTCCATCATAACCTTTTCCCACTGATCTTTGTCGATAGCGCCTGCTAAATTCTGGGCAGCAATGTTGTTGAGAGCAGTAGCAACACTTTTACAGATCTCTATGGCTAACATTTCAAAAAAGCTGCATTAGCAAGGATTATCTACACATAGTGAGCAGCTCATGTTATAGACAGAAGCGTGCTACATGGCAGACCAATCCAAACTCATCTCTCGGCATGTCCAGCCCATCCATTGTCTCAGCCAATCATGGCTAGCGCGAAGGTTTCTGTCTTTTTCTGTGGCTAAACCAACTAGGCTCGTAATTTAAATGATGTATTCATATTTACAAATGGAATACAAGTTTGTTAATAAGGCACATGAAAGTTCACATGTTCCAGAAGGCATTTCTGCCAAAAAACGCATTTTGATTAAAAAAAAGTAGTGACGTGCGACATACGAAACGGGTCACATATATGGTTAATTAGGGACGTTTCTAAATGCAAATAGCCAAGGTCGTGCACGAGCACTGAGGCTGAGAACAATTGGTATTTATCAATGGTTATCTCCTACCGGTGTGCATTTGACGCTCGTAGGATTGTTTGAAAAATCACACTTTTCTATCCATACGAACATTCTGAAATCCCTTCGTAAGTAGTATTTTAGAATAGTTTCTACACAATATTGATAAATGAGGCCCCAGGACTCGTACTTGACTAGGACCCAAGTCACGATTTTCATGACTTATGACTCGACTCCGACTCGACCAGTGGGGACTCGGACTTGGACTCGGACTTGGACTCGATCAGTAGTGACTTTGTTGTCAGAACATCTCTTTGTTGCATAATTTAACATACTAGCTACAACAGCAAATGTTAGAGTGCTGTATTATGTAGATATCCTTACAATGTAACAGAATTTAGATTTTTTAATGGTTGGACCGCAGCTTTTAGCACTACCAAGGGACTCTTGACTCGAATATAAAGTAGTAGGACATGAACACTTGGGACTCGACTCTGACTCAAGGTTTAGTGTCTTGACTACATCACTGGTCTATACTGTGGATATTGCTGTAATCAGGCTCTCACTGGATTCTCATCAGTTTGGAATCAAACAAAACAGTAGATAACCACATCCTGTTTTGTCTTTGTGTAAAGTTTTGTGATGTGTTTTCTGATGACAGGATGATTGTACAGTGACTTTGGCCTAGTCTTTAGTTTATAATTTCATTCTGTAGACTGTTAATAATATGATGTATTTGTAAATATATACTGTAGTACTTGAGTGTATTTGAGAAAAGGAATATATATGTAGGCCACAATATAATACTGTGAATACTGTGTAATATACTGAGGGCTGGATTCTTGAATACAGATTAAGCCTAGTCATGGACTTAAAAGCATGCTCAATGGAGAATGTGTGTCCTGGAAACCACCAATGGATGTCTTTCTAGAAGTCCCATGTAGCTCAGTTGGTAGAGCATGGCGTTTGCAACGCCAGGGTTGTGGGTTCGTTTCCCACGGGGGACCAGTATGGAAGAAAAAAAAAGTAAGTTGCTCTGGATAAGAGCGTCTGCTAAATGACTAAAATGTAAATGTAATTATCTTGTTTACCAGGCTGAATGTACTGCTACTACAGATGTAGGATCTTAATTTGATCACTATTTTTGTTGCTGAGTATTTTCCTACACAGCAGGAAATGCAAACTTGTATTGTATTTGAGTTTTAAAAAGGTTTCTAAAGTTTGTAATTTCCAGTTGAACATTTCAGACTTGATTTGCCCCAACCAAAAATCTATCAACCCCTACATAAATGTCCATTAATTATAATCCACATCAGTGGAGGCTGCTGAGGGGAGGAATGGCATCAAACACATGGAAACCATGTTTGATGTATTTGATACCATTCCACACCTATTCCGCTCCAGCCATTACCACAAGCCCGTTCTCCCCAATTAAGGTGCCACCAACCTCCAGTGATCCACTTAATAATTCAAAATGTCTGTTGCTGCAGGATTATATTCCTGCTGTAGCAAACTGGCTCAAATGAAGATCCTACATCTGTACCTGGTGGCAGTGAGTGAAGAAATATGTTTATCCATCTTCCATTTCCTTAATTTTCTTCCTGTAGAAGACCTGCAGCTAGTTTATAACAGTAGATCACTATCAGTTGAGTTAGTGAACCACCAGCAATGACAGAACCACTCCGTCTGTTGTGTTAACCTTTGTGTGAAGTGAACCTTGGGTGCTGAAAGTTGCACAAAAGCTGATCAGATGTTTTATTAGTGTTGTTTATTTTGTTATTTCCTGGTGATCTCAATCTCAGGCTTTTAATTCACTCATGCTGTACCATGCTGGTGCATATACCAGAATAAAGAAGAAGTTCACTCATATCTACTGTTCTCCTTATTTGGTGTATGTATGTTGTGGTTGCACTCTTAAAATGGTATGTTGAGTAGGATTATCATGATTAATGAGCTGATTGACATTACATGACATCATTACATCAGTTGCTGCCCATAACATTATCACTAACATTGCGATAGTATATTTTTCCCACACCAATAGAGGACAATTTGGTCTTTGTTTTGCTTGCTTGCTCCCTCGCTCGTTCCTTTTCCCCCTTGCTCCCTTTTTCTTTCTCCTTATTTCACCCCTTTTCTTCTCACTCCATGTGAAAGTCTTATCCCAAGCCTAAGCTGTTTAATAGCAACATAAACCACACTCAAGGCTTACACTACAGATTTACATCTGTGGCTAGCTAGATGAACAGACATTTCATTCATTACTATTTTCAGCTATTGCTGCTTACTACTGAAAACTATGTTGAACGTTCAACACCTAAGTTCAACTGAAACAACTCCATGTGATCGGGCCTGTAGCTCATGACAATGTATAGAGTCGGAGAAGCCGTAAAGGTATACAGTATTACTTATAGTGCATCTGTGTGTTCATACACTAGAATGAATGACTTCTTTTTTCAAATATCAAACTTTATTTGTTGTTTATCATACCTTGTCTATGATACATGTGGTCCTCTGTAGCTCAGCTGGTAGAGCACGGCGCTTGTAACGCCAAGGTAGTGGGTTCGATCCCCGGGACCACCCATACACGAAAAATTTATGCACGCATGACTGTAAGTCGCTTTGGATAAAAGCGTCTGCTAAATGGCATATTATTATTATTATTATTATTATACATGCCATACAGTAGAACTGTTTTCCATGTAGATTGTATTTACAATAAAACATTTTACACAGCCTTTAATGATGTATGTACAGTATGACATATACTCTTTGTAGAAAAAGGTTTTGAAGTCAGTGTGAATATCAGAGGATGAGCTGGTTTTCAATTAACCTCTTAAGGATCAGACCCTTTTTTTCAATTTTCACCTAAAATGACATACCCAAATCTAAATGCCTGTAGCTCAGGACCTGAAGCAAGAATATGCATATTCTTGATAACATTTGAAAGGAAACACTTTGAAGTTTGTGGAAATGTGAAATTAATGTAGGAGAATATAACACATTAGATCTGGTAAAAGATAATACAAACAAAAAACAGCGGTTTTAATTTTATTTTTTATCATCTTTGAATTGCAAGAGAAAGGCCACAATATAATATTGCAGTTTAGGTGCAATTTAGATTTAGGCCACTAGATGGCAGCAGTTTGTGTGCAAAGTTTCAGATTGATCCAGTGAAGCATTGCAATAATAATAATAATAATAATATGCCATTTAGCAGACGCTTTTATCCAAAGCGACTTACAGTCATGCGTGCATACATTTTTGTGTATGGGTGGTCCCGGGGATCGAATCCACTACCTTGGCGTTACAAGCGCCTTGCTCTACCAGCTGAGCTACAGAGGACCACAATACTGGACTATTTTGTTCAAGTCTGCCCAAATGTGCCGAATTAGTCAATTGATACATTTTCAAGTACATAACTAGAGAACATACAAAAATGATATGGTAATACAAAATGTAAGTTTACACACTCCCAGGAATGTCATACATGATGGATCGTTAGCTTATACACTAACTTTCACACATCTAGATGGCCGGGCAGGATCGGTGTGGAGCCAGAGACAGCAGGGGTTCAAACTGTGGAACCCAGTTTCTACATTTGAATGTAAAAATGGATTTTATCAAACAAAACTATGCTACATTTTATCTCTGGGACCCTTAGGATGACAAATCAGAGCAAGATTACTGAATGTAAGTACATTATTTACCTTCAGAGGTGAATGTATCAAACCAGTTGCCGTGCTAAGTTATTTGTTGTTGTGCACTCTCCTCAAACAATAGCATGGTATTTTTTGACTGTAATAGCTACTGTAAATTGGACAGTGCAGTTAGATTAACAATCATTTAAGCTTTCTGCCCATATAAGACATGTCTATGTCCTGGAAAGTTTGCTGTTACTTACAACAGTCAAGCTAATCACATTAGCGCACGTTAGCTCAACCGTCCCGTATACGGGACACCGATCCCGTAGAGGTTAAATTAATTCCTGTCTGAAAAACGTTGTTAGATCTCTCTGATTGATTTGATAGTGTCATGTTCGTTAACAGACTGGACAGACCAAGGCGCAGCGTGATAAGCATACATGTTTATTAAACGAATTATCACACGACAAAAACAGCAAACGAAACGTGAAGTCCAAGGTAGCACACTAACATACCAAAACACGGAACAAGATCCCACAACTAACTCGTGCCAATAGGCTGCCTAAGTATTGTCCCCAATCAGAGACAACGAGCTACAGCTGCCTCTGATTGGGAACCACCCCGGCCAACATAGATCTACACATACTAGATCTAACATAGACAATCAACATAGCCAAACACAACACAGAAAATACACACCCTGACTCAACAAATACGAGTCCCTTGAGTCAGGGCGTGACAGATAGCTACATTTGGCACTTGGACACTCTAGCACAACTCCTGTTTATATTTGTTATGATGAGTTTCTGGTATTGAGAAGTTCAAGATACAAGAATTTACTTAGACATTCTGTGGAGATTTTATACCAAGTATTTATTGGATCACGAGCTCGTGGGTTCATCTAACAAACGGACATAGCTCTGCCCTTTGTCAGTTGAACTGCCCACACACACAAATCTCACAGCTTTTATACTCTTGGTTATCCTTCCTTTCACATACATCTGGCAACCATCATAGGCACTCCCTTTCTCTGTTGTTATTACCCTTTGCCCCAGGTCATTATATCCTGTCCATCAATCATACTACCATAAACATCACTAATCTCCCTTGACATAAGGAATGTAGACTTCATGGCCCCAAACCAATTATCTCGTAACTCTTCCTCGGTCCTCACAATACTATGCCCTAACATCATAACAATATTGCTGTTGTGACTTAAAACAGATACGCTTCTGTTATAAATGCTTTATAAGAACAAATGTTTTATTTAAATAAAACAGCTATAATTTACAGTATGACAGTGTCTGTTACACTATGTTCACTCTCCCCCAGTAAGTGGCACTAAAGCATGAAGTGATCTTGCATATTTCTATGGTTATCATCAACACTACACTGACATTAGTGTTCAAAGGTCTTCTAATCTATTCTACAGTGGTTGGTTCAGAAAGTTGTTTCATTTAGCACATATTGTAACTCTATAACTGAACTGAAAAATATTCATCCCCCTTGGCGTTTTCCCTATTTTGTTGCATTACAACCTGTAATTTAAGTGGATTTTTAATGGACATAAACAAAATAGTCCAAATTGGTGAAAAAAAAAAAAAACTTGTTTCAAAAGATTAAAAAAAATAAATAATGGTAAAGTGGTGCGTGTATATGTATTCAACCCTTTGCTATGAATCTCCTAAATAAGATCTGGTGCAAATAGATTGGACTATCTGTCCATAGGACCACTTTAAGCCGTACACTCCACAGAGCTGGGCTTTACGGAAGAGTGGCCAGAAAAAAGCCATTGCTTAAAGAAAAAAATAAGCAAACACGTTTGGTGTTCGCCAAAATGCATGTGGGAGACTCCCCAAACATATGGAAGAAGGTACTCTGGTCAGATGAGACAAAAATTGAGCTTTTTGGCCATCAAGGAAAACGCTATGTCTGGCACAAACCCAACACCTCTCATCACCCTGAGAACAACATCCCCATCGTGAAGCATGGTGGTGGCAGCATCATGCTGTGGGGATGTTTTTCATCGGCAGGGACTGGGAAACTGCTCAGAATTGAAGGAATGATGGATGGCACTAAATACAGGGAAATTCTTGAGGGAAACCTGTTTCAGTCTTCCAGAGATTTGAGACTGGGACGGAGGTTCACCTTCCAGCAGGACAATGACCCTAAGCATACTGCTAAAGCAACACTCGCATGGTTTAAGGGGAAACATTTAAATGTCTTGGAATGGCCTAGTCAAAGCCCAGACCTCAATCCAATTAAGAATCTGTGGTATGACTTAAAGATTGCTGTACACCAGCGGAACCCATCCAACTTGAAGGAGCTGGAGCAGTTTTGCCTTGAAGAATGGGAAAAAATCCCAGTGGCTAGATGTGCCAAGTTTATAGAGACATACCCCAAGAGACTTGCAGCTGTAATTGCTGCAAAAGGTGGGGGGGGGGGGGTTCTGTTTTTTTAGTCTTATTTCTTGTTTGTTTCACAATAAAAAATATTTTGCATCTTCAAAGTGGTAGGCATGTTGTGTAAATCAAATGATACAAACCCCCCAAAAATCAATTTTAATTCCAGGTTGTAAGGCTTACTTTCGCAAGCCACTGTATATACAGTTTATAACTAATCAAACATAACTATCTCTTTATTTAGTTCTATATAAGTCTCATTTATATCTATTTTCTACATGTAGAATCCCGGAAAACACGTCTGATGTAGCAGTGAAAAAGCTGCTTGATCTGAATGTTCGAACACTATTTGTAGCTTATCAGTTAAGTCCTTAGATCTCCCTAGAGGTCAATATATAACCTCTGTGCATTATACATGTCATATCCTTATGTCCTTACATAACGGATAAATATCTTGGTTTAGCTCGGCGGACTAACAGTGTCTTGTGGTGCATAGATGACTCATGGTTCAAACCCAGTAGTATCTACAGTTGAAGTCGGAAGTTTACATACACCTTAGCCAAATACATTTAAACTCAGTTTTTCACAATTCCTGACATTTAATCCTAGTAAAAATTCCCTGTCTTAGGTCGGTTAGGATCACCACTTTATTTTAAGAATGTGAAATGTCAGAATAATAGTAGAGAGAATGATTTATTTAAGCTTTTATTTATTTCATCCCAGTGGGTCAGAAGTTTACATACACTCAATTAGCATTTGGTAGCATTGCCTTTAAATTGTTTAACTTTGGTCAAACGTTTTGGGTAGCCTTCCACAAGCTTCCCACAATAAGTTGGGTGAATTTTGGCCCATTCCTCCTGACAGAGTTGGTGTAACTTAGTCAGGTTTGTAGGCCTCCTTGCTCGCACACGCTTTTTCAGTTCTGCCCACACATTTTCTATAGGATTGAGGTCAGGGATTTGTGATGGCCACTCCAATACCTTGACTTTGTTGTCCTTAAGCCATTTTGCCACAACTTTAGAAGTATGCTTGGGGTCATTGTCCATTTGGAAGACCCATTTGCGACCAAGCTTTAACTTCCTGACTGATGTCTTGAGATGTTGCTTCAATATATCCACATAATTTTCCTTCCTCATGATGCCCTCTATTTTGTGAAGTGCACCAGTCCCTCCTGCAGCAAAGCACCCCCACAGCATGATGCTGCCACCTCTGTGCTTCACAGTTGGGATGGTGTTCTTCGACTTGCAAGAACCCCCTTTTTCCTCCAAACATAACGATGGTCATTATGGCCAAACAGTTCTATTTTTGTTACATCAGACCAGAGGACATTTCTCCACAAAGTACGATCTTGTCCCCATGTGCAGTTGTAAACCGTAGTCTGGATTTTTTATTGCGGTTTTGGAGCAGTGGCTTCTTCCTTGCTGAGTGGCCTTTCAGGTTATGTCGATATAGGACTCGTTTTACTGTGGATATAGATACTTTTGTACCTGTTTCCTCCAGCATCTTCACAAGGTCCTTTGCTGTTGTTCTGGGATTGATTTGCACTTTTCGCACCAAAGTACGTTCATCTCTAGGAGACAGAACGCGTCTCCTTCCTGAGCGGTATGATGGCTGCGTGGTCCCATGGTGTTTATACTTGCGTACTATTGTTTGTACAGATGAACATGGTACCTTCAAGCGTTTGGAAATTGCTCCCAAGGATGAACCAGACTTGTGGAGGTCTACAATTATTTTTCTGAGGTCTTGGCTGATTGCTTTTGATTTTCCCTTGATGTCAAGCAAAGAGGCACTGAGTTTGAAGGTAGGCCTTGAAATACTTCCACAGGTACATCTCCAATTGACTCAAATTAGCCTATCAGAAGCTTCTAAAGCCATGACATCATTTTCTAGAATTTCCCAAGCTGTTTAAAGGCACAGTCAACTTAGTGTATGTAAACTTCTGACCCACTGGAATTGTGATACAGTGAATTATAAGTGAAATAATGTCTGTAAACAATTGTTGGAAAAATAACTTGTGTCATGCACAAAGTAGATGTCCTAACCGACTTGCCAAAACTATAATTTGTTAATAAGAAATTTGTGGAGTGGTTGAAAAACTAGTTTAAATGACTCCAACGTAAGTGTATGTAAACTTCCGACTTCAACTGTACCTACAGGTCAATAGTGTCACTGCACACGCTAAGAGCATCGATCTGTCGGCACACGTTGACAAACTCCGCTTGTATGGCCAGATCCTGTTCCAGCAACCTGCTTTCACTCAGGTCCTCTCTGCCCTCCAGCTGCCCCTCCCCCTGGCTGTCCTGCGAGGCGGAGTTGAGGGTGCGGTAGCGTCTGTGGTGGGAGAGGTTGGGGAGCGTCCTGGGCAGGCTGCTCTGGGAGTGGAGCTGCCCTCTGGTGGAGTGGGGATGCGAACGCGCCCCTCCTGCCCCCGGGCTGGAGAACAGACCCTGGGAAGACCCACTCAGGGACTCCTGGCACAGGCAGCTGTGGTTACTACCTCTCCACCAGCGCTCAGGGGGGGAGCTGGGATCACCGTGGCCTGGGAGGATGCACCCTGGCTGGGGAGGCCGTGTAGGAGACATATCCACATCTCCACAGGAAGAGGTCCGGTAGAGGGAGCTGTCGGCTGAGCTGTGTCCAGGTTGTGAGGCACTCTGGCTGAGGTGGGAGCCAGGGGAGTTCAGGGAGAGGCTGGAGGAGGCATGGAGCAGCCTGGGGGGACTAAAGAGACTGTGGGGGAACAGGGTTTCGCTGTACAGGGCCTGGTCTATGCTCCGGGACAGGTCGATTGGAGAGGGGGGGCGCAGGTACATTGTGGAGTCAGTGTCCAGAACTAGACTAGCCTGGGAAGAGCCCTGGGACGCAACCCCAGCTTGAGGCATCCATGGTGGGCTGGGAGGGTCAGGGAGGTGGGGGTGTCTGGAGGTTCTGGTCTGGCCAGGGTGGGTGTTAGGGTTAGGATGCAGGTTCAGTCCGTTTGAGGGGGGGTCCATTAGTGTGTAAAGGGGGAACGCTTCGGACTGGCGCTTACTAATGACATCACACACCACCAGCTTCTCTTCCTGCCCCAGTGACCAGGGGTAGTGAGGGGGGAGGACTGTGGAGAGGGGAAGGGGGTGGCTAGGCCCTCCTGAGGGTGAGGCACAGGGCAGCCGCGCCCAGGACCCCGGACGGGGGTTGGAGTTGGGTTTAGTCCAGGGGGAGGAGTTAGAGTTGGAGCAACAGAAGAGGAGGGGATGAGTGCCGATGATTGAGAGGGACAGACACACCCCCACCTCACAGAGCCTGCAGCCCAGCTGGTAGCCCCACCAAGGCCAGGGCTGAAACCCCGCCCCAGCACTCACCCCTCCAAACCCCATTGCATGTAACATCCCATACATCTGGAGCCCCCCACAGCCTAACAGGCACAGAGACCCTCCCACCCCAGCCCCTGCCGCCCTGCTCCACTCCCCAGCCTCAGCGAATGGGCACCGGGACGGCCGCCTCACCAACACCGGGGAACCTGTTACCTCTCCTTCACCATCACTCAGCCGTTGGACATGCTTGGTGTCTTGTCGTACAAAGCAGTAGAAGAGGAGGAAGGAGCAGGGGAGAAGGAGGCAGAGGAGGATGAACACTCCCTGGGGGAGTAGGAGGAGGACAGGGAGGCTGGGGAAGACATGGAAGAGAGCTATGGAGCCCAGGGAGGCCCCGAAGTGCAACAGCGAGAGGGAGAACAAGAGACAGGGCCGGGGCAGGGCCAAGAGAGGGAGCGAGTTGGAGAGGGAAAAAGGGAGGGAGAGGTGCATGCGAGAGCGGAGGGAGAGGAGGAGGAAGCAGAGGGAGAAGGCAGAGGTGAGGCAGGGTAAGGGTAGCTCAGAAAGTAGGAGAGAGCCCAGAGCAGACAGGCGGTCCTGGTGACTATAAGCATCATACAGCAGAGTGCATGCTCTAGTGCCTCCAGTTGCCAGGAGGAACAGATGCAGCAGGCTGAAGTAGGGGCTTCCCGGGGGGCAGCGCAGGGGCAGGCCTAACAGGCAGAGTACAGATATCAGACCTAATGCAGCGAACACAGATCCCAGACCATAGATGTGGACCTCCCAGGCAAAGCCCCAGGTGGCCAGAGCTGAGTTCCAATCAGAATACAGAGGCACGAAGAGAGGAGGCGTTAGAGACAGAATGGGGCGCTGGGATTTATTTGAGATGATGTCATCAGGGTAAACAGGGCTCCAGGAATGATTTGTGTTGCAGGGCGTGGCCTTGGTGTCCAGGCTGCAGTCGAGGATAGGTGTCTCATTGGTGGCTGACTTAGGCCACACCTCCTCTGGAGATACACCTGTAAAACAGAAACAAAGATGGTTGAAACTGATGCCCTAATCAACCCCTTGCCCCTATCCCCAGATCTGAGGGGTTTCATAGGGTGAAACATCAGCGAGAGCGAGAGAGTAATCCATTACAAAAGTACATGCTTGTAACTGGGAATCTCTAACTGGGTCAGAGAGAGAGAGAGAGAGAGAGAGAGAGGGAGAGGGAGGGAGGGAGGGAGGGAGGGTGAGGGGGAGGGGGAGGGGGAGGGAGGTAGAAAGAGCAAGGGAGGGAGAGAGAGACTGTGTGGGCAGATTAGGTAGCATTGACCCCATTGCTGTTCTTATTTGTGTAACTATTTATAAATCGCAGAAACTGGCACACATTACATCATTTATAACATACTATTGTAGGTGCACATACCCATTCCATATGTCTGTCCCCTATGATTACATAACATCTGAATAATGTAGACACTTCTATTCACTATGTGCCTGCCTACTGCCTCTGCATAGAGAAATACAGTATGACTGATCTTAGGGGATAGGAGCTCTGCGACAAGACCTCTGGTCCCTCCTCTTCACATGCATGTGTACGTGTGTTTGTTTGTTTAAAAAAAATTATCTTTATTTTAACAGGGAAGACATATTGAGACTTAGGTCTCTTTTACAAATGCACCCTGTACAATACAACATAAATATACACATTATACCCAACCTATATATATATATATATATATATATATATATATATATATATATATATATATATAGATAGATAGATAGATAGATAGATAGATAGATAGATAGATAGATAGATAGATAGATAGATAGATAGATAGATACACATTAAAATACAAAAACACAGTCATGGGAAGCACAAATAAAACGTCACAAATCACCCAGAAAAACAGTTACATTCCTCCACAAATAAGTGCCTAATCAATACTTTAAATTGCCCGAACGGCACCATAACATCAATATGAAATGTATTTAGAATTTTGTTCCAGCAATACGGTGCATTAAAACAACTAAAAGCAGATTTACCTAGCTCGGTAGAGACCCTCAAGAGTTAACCAATCCTGTGAATGGGTTAGGCAACTCAGGTGTCTATACTTCAACAGCAAGGTTAGTGTGTGTGTGTGTGTGTGTGTGTGTGTGTGTGTGTGTGTGTGTGTGTGAGAGAGAGAGAGGTGTGAGACACACAGAGCTAACCCAGTTTTACTACCCTCTACCTATGCTCTCTACCCCTCCCTGGCTGGGGAGCAGCTTCTACAATGTCCCACATACAACCACCAGTCCAGCTATGTTTTGTCATTCACATCTCATTTACTGTTATTCACATGTAATTCATTCACAGTCTCCCTCAGTTTAGCTGTTTAAGAAGACAGGACAGCAAGGGAGGGAGATAGTGTGTCTGTGACAGAGGAGAGAGAGGGAGGTGGTAGATATGAATGGGAGATTAAGTTGGGATTAAGAGAGGGAAGAAGAGAAGGGGGATTGAATGAGTGGGAGAGAAGGAGGAGGAGATGGGAGAATGAGACAGAAGATGGAGAGGCGTGGAGTAAACTGCCCTGTGAATATAAAACAACTGTGTTTGCTAGCAGAATACACACACAAACACACACACAGAGCCGACAAGTCCCATCGCTTTCCAACACACACTTCAACAGAAAACATACTACTACTACTACTACTACTACTACTACTACTACTATGTACTGCTATAGGGGCGTGTAAACACCAAATAAACACTTCCTGATATCAGAGGTAGGATGCTACAGGGGCATGTATACACCAAATACATATTTCCTGATATCAGAGGTAGGTTGCTACAGGGGCATGTATACACCAAATACATACTTCCTGATATCAGATGTAGGATGCTACAGGGGCATGCAAACACCAAACCCACACACTTCCTGATATCAGAGGTAGGATATCATGAAGGGAAAATATATAAGGGGATACTCATCACACTGCCACAGTAAATCAGTTAATTCACCACCAGTGTTTTACAAAATAGAAAAATAGGACAATTCTTTCTGACCAATATCCTATAAATAGTAGGGCAAGACTTCCTATTCCTTCTTACTAACATCCTGAGGGTGTTGTAAAAGCGGACATATAACTGTAAGACGGGAATCGGGGGATGGGGGTTGGATATGAGAAGTTGGTCTTACCTGTGTCTGTTCCTGTATCTGTGAGGTTCTCTGTGAAGTCCTCCAACTCTGAGAAGTCTCCAGTCTCCATCACGGTATCTCCCTCCAGCATGTCTCTTTGTGGGGTGGCTGGTTGGTCCAGAGCTAGCAACCCTTTGTTTGTGGCCAGGGCTATGGGTTGGTCTTGGTCCGGGTCAGTAGTGGAGCCTAGCTGTGCGGTCACTGGGGTTGGTAAGGTAGTGAGTGGATTAAAGCCTAAGGTCTCTGTATAGTCGGAGCTAAAGAGAAGGATGGGTGTTGGTCTACCAATACTATCTCCATTCTGTGGGAGTGACAGAGGTATCTGAGTAGTCCGTCCATCCTGTGAAGGAGTTAGTGGGGATCCAGCCTTCCCCCTGATGTTGCTCTCTGTTAGCTCGTTTTCAGGAGCTCCATCCTGGATACTGTCTGGTGGTCCATCCCTAAATAAGGTCCCAGTTGGAGGTTTGATTTCCATCCATGCAGTGACACTGTCTGCCTCTGTGAATCTGAATGTCTCCAGCCCTGTTTCTTTGGGGACAGTTTTAGGTGACTGCTCAGGGCTTTCCAGCAAATCAGGGTATTCACCGATAATTCCTTGAAACTCGTCTGTGTAGTAATGTTTCTCAGTTTCCTCAGGTTCCAGTGTGGAGCCCCTCAGCCCTGGAAACCAACCGAGAGAGTCGGTCATTCTGGCTCCAGCGTTGAGGCCTACCGGAGCCCAGGAGGGCCCTAAAGGGCTGTGTGAAACCTGTACATCTGTCTGTGTGTCTGTGTGTGGGTGAAGTGGTGCCTCTGTGGCGCCCTCTGTGGCCAGGGAGAAGGCATGCAGATGGAGGAGAGGAGTGAGGGAGAGGAAGAGGAGGAGCAGGAAGAGGAAGAGAGAGATACACATCACAACTGCCATAATGGAGACCCTATAGTATAATCTTCTCTGTGAAGTCACATGATGCAGGTAAACATCGCTGTCCAAATCACATGATTCCCAGCAAACTCCTCTTTCACCTCGACCCCATACACCTAAGAATCAGCTCACCTGCAGAACACAGACAACACACACCTCAAAGTCAGCATACAAAAAACTGGAGCAGTGTCCCTCTCCTCCTCCATTAGAAAAAACATACCCTTCAATGTATGCACGCATACCTCCGTTTGATTTTTCCATGCCTCTCTCTGCCAATGTTCTCAGAAAGTAGCACACCACTCACCATAGATATTCCTAAACACCCAGCTAGCACATTTGGTTCCTTGGAAGTTGTGGGAACCTGCGTCTTTGGTTTCCCATTGGTTTTGGGAACGAAGTCGTACGTTTCCTGACCGGTAAAACTGAACGTTTTTAAAATATGTTCTGGGAACGTAAATGTTTAGGTTGCCGGGAGGTTCTGATAACATTTTACTATGGTTTCCTGAAAGTTTTCCTGGGAGGTTTTGTTAATGTTCTGAGAACAGAAATTATAGGTTATTTTGAGTTTTTTTAATAACTTCCTTAAAACTTTCACTGAATGTTTCAATAAGACTTTTAATAACACTGCTAGCTTAGGTTAACTGTTTTGAACTCCAAGCACAGATAGGACACATTTGCTTAGGCATTAATAATGCAAACACATTTATTTTTAATTGTGGCACGGTGTCAGTGAGATTTGAACCTATGATCTTCTGTTCTCTATCCATGGAATTAGTCCATTGCGCCACCAAGATGGAGCTAGCATGCCAAGTCTTTTTTTACTCATACAAAGCTGATCATTTTGGTCTATTCAAACAGACCCCATTTCAAAGGAAACAAGCACTCATTAAGATCAGGTGTGGCCAATTAGTGGGCGCGGCCAACACACCTAACAAGATATAGGATAGAGAGAGCTTTGTTGACGCAGAGGACGGAATGTATAGGTTTTTCAATATAATAATTAAAAAGTTATTTGAATGTTACTAAGGTTTTCTTGTCGTTTTTATGGAACGTTTTCTTAATGTTCTGAGAACATGACTTTAAATTGAACCATGAGGAAACCTGAAGAACATGGTTTCTTAAAGTTATGGAAAAAATCTGAGAACATGACTTAAAATAAAACCATTAGGAAACCTGTTGGAAACGTTATGTTGAGGTATTGAAATTCCAACAGAAGAACGTTGTTTTTTAACGTTCTCTGAACTATTTGAGGACATTCCCATTGTCAAACCAGTAGGAGAACGATCCTAGAACATGACCAAAAAATCTATTAAATGTAACCATGTTTGAACTTTTAGGAAATGTTCTGTTAAAGTAATGAAATACCAAGAAAATAACGTTATTTTGTAAAGTTCCTTAAATGTCCTGAGAATGTTCCAAAGCCAAGCAACTATCCTGCACCATTCCCAGAACATTGTGGGAAGGTTGTATGCAAAATAACCATAGGACAACCCCGCCTTCACCAAGCGCTAAGAAATATATGGTTCTCAGAACGTTATGTGCTAGCTGGGCACACAGCAACACCAACCACTTTGATCTCTTCCTCTTGATCATTGTCTCTCTTCCTTAGCCCTTCACAACCCCTACCTCAATCTATAGCTTCTGGGGAGACACACCACACACACACAGCTGTAGTACTCACTGTGCTGCGTCCCTCTGCTCTCCATCAGATAGACAGGAGAGGACAGGTCCCAGCTCAGCCAGACAACATCTCCCTCTGTCCCACACCACGCTTCTGCTGCTTCCGTTGCTGCTGTAAAGTTCCCTCCGTCTGTCTGTGTGTGTGTTAGACTGAGTTACAGGTTCACTCTCCTCACTCCTCTTCTCAGTATCACTCACACACTCAGTAAGCTCCTTCTCTCTATCCCTCCCTCACTCGTTCAAGGGTGTGTGTGTGTGTGTGTCTCTCTCTCTCTCTCTCGCTCTCTCTCTCTCTCTCTCTCTCTCTCTCTATGATGTGTGTCAGGAATGCATGGTTCCCGTGGATACACCTCACTGGGCAAATAATTAATCAGTGTGGTCTGGTCGTATTATGGGATGGGAGCCAGAGGGGGACAAAAAGGGTTGGCGCACACACACACACAGCAGATAAATATGCCAGTGAGAACAAATCGTTAACAGGAGGGTGGTACTGTGCATAGAGTTAACTATCAGATCAATATAGTGTATTGGATGTAATTTGCGGCTGGAGTTGAAACCAGCCCTCTCTGTCATGATTAACATAAAAGCAATAGTCAGTGTGAGAGTGAAGCCAGTACATCACAAATTATAGAACAAACATCACAAGGAATTTGGAACTTCTTTGTGAGCTGAGAATGCACAACTGGTGATTTTGTATTGTAATAGTGTTAGTTTGGCATCTTCCTTCTGTTATCACACCATCTCATTCTCTATCTCTTATATACATACCCACTTCTCGCTCTGTCTTCAATTCTCATTATCTCTCTCCTACTCAACATGTTGTCATCAGACTCTGATAGATATAGTACTTTATCTCCCTGCGGGGTAAAGTCCAGGCTCCTGTCCTCATTTCATTCCTCTCTGGATACTTTAAAATAGACACTGATCCACATACTGTACCTTGTTAATCTGTGTACATCTTCAATCTGCACTCTGACTGCCCAGAGTGGAATAGGACTCCACATATGGGCCATTGTGCTGTATCTATATTATAGATCAGCTCTGCTAGTATTCGACTGACTAGGGTTGGATTATGGGTGAGCATAATTGATTACAGCAGTGCATTCACAGGGCATGAACCAATACATCTAGCCACTGTCTATTCAGTATCATACATAGATAGAGCAATAACAAAGATGCTTGGGTATACAGTATTCCAATATCTTGAACATACATTGGTACTGACCAAAAATCCATTGGATTTAGAGCAATGATGAATGGATCGTCTTCAGCATCAATATCTCCTCCCTCTTCTGTCTGTTGGTCAGACTGTCAGGCAGGTTTGTGATAAATAAAGCTCTTATTTATCTCTGGCTGTATTAGATACAGTAGAGCACTCTGTCCCTCCCCTACTTACCCCAGGGAAATATAAGACAGGCAGACAGGCAGACAGGCAGACAGGCAGACAGGCAGACAGGCAGACAGGCAGACAGGCAGACAGGCAGACAGGCAGACAGGCAGACAGGCAGACAGACATCCCCCTTATGGAAAAAACACATGAATTTCACATGCGATCACATGTGAAGTGTTCCAAAAACACATGTTTTCATGTGATCACGTGATCTTATGTGAAGTTAATGTGACAACATGTAAAGCAACATGTGATAACATGAAACGACACGTGAAAACGTGATCACGTTTTCACCTGATTTCACATGTGATTTTCATGTGATTTTCCACATGTGAAATCATGTGGTTTTTCTGTAAGGCTAGTTTAAAATGAGATAGAGTTTGGTCTCAGGGTTGAAGCATTATCAGTCCCTGTGGGTCAGCAAAATCAATGATCCATAACCAGAGAGAGGACCAATAATTGATCAATGATGGACCAATAACAGTCACCAGGACCTGCTCACAGTGGGTCAGCCTGGGGGTGAAGGGTCACAGAGTACAGGATAGTCAGCTGGGGTAAAATACTAACCGGGCGTTCAACCAGGGGTGTTCTGTACCACATTTAAAACTGTTAGTCCACTGAGCTTAAGCTCTGAGACTCAACACAAGTCTTCCGGTTTCCGACAACAGGTGGCCAACCGTGCTTTAGGGGCTTAGGAGAGCCACACCAGAGCCAACTGACACCCAGTGTGATGACCGCACAGGAAGGCACCAACCAGCCAGAACTAAAGGGGTCCGGAGAGGAACAATGACTGACCAAACACATGATCTCAGCATTGGGCACGGCCAAACCACCCCCCGCCTCACACCGGCTATACAAACCCCCTACACACACTTAAACACAGGAGGACATACACACACAGGCTTGCACAGGAACACAGACACTCGGGAACACACTCACATACACAGCTACACACACACACCACGTACGCACGCACATACACACACACACACACACACACGCAGACACATCGTCTGCCTGTATGGCTGCTGAGTTAGGTTTGACAGGGGATGACTTGTCCAAACAGTGGGGCTGTGTCCCAATGTGTGTGTGTGTCAATGTGTGTGTGTGTGTGTGTGTGTGTGCGCGCATATGTGTGACTGTGTGTCAGAAAGGCAGAAATCTATTTGCATGCGCAAGAGATACTACAATTCAGCTCATACCTGGTAATGAGGATTGTGTCCTCTGCTGCAGAGCGCACTGTAGCAGCCATATGAATGAATAAAATACTCTTAAAACACATGGTTATTTCAACTAATGCAAAAACAACACACGCGTTTAAAATGATCGAGGATAAAAACGTAATAAAGAACTAGAAAAATTTAAATTTGTGCGCTTCCTAGTCTTGAAGTATTCATGGTTGTGAAATAGTTGTAGTAGTGGTAGTGGTAGTGAGGACAGTATTAATGGTAGTAGTAGTAGTAACAGGGTTTTCGTAGGCTATGGGCTAGTTATAGTGACCTATTTTGGGGTGATTTGTATGTGTGGCCTTATTATAGTGGATTATAGTGGGCTAGTATTGTAGGCTAGAGTGTACAATAGCATCATAAGCCATATAATGTGTTTAAGCTCTCAAAATGCTTTAGTTTGAACATTCTTAAAGTTTTTTGGCAGTGATTTCAGTTTAGAATGTTGAAGCCTGCATTCCACCATTGAAATGAATGGAGATACAACAAACTTTATAGTTAATGAATTATGAATGGTAGCAAAAAGCTAAGTTGAGTCAGTCTGCACATTTGGGTTGGTGTTTGTAGCTGAAACAGATCAAGAGCAGTGGCAAATAAATGTTTTGCCTTTAGTCTATGGAGCTTTAATACAAACGTTAAATGGTTATAGTTCAACAAGTACAAAAGTATCTAAAATCTTTTTTACAAGCAGTCTAAGTTGAGTTTGTCTGTACATGTCTGTACATGTCAACGTTAGTAACTTTAACGGTTCAAGAGCAGTGGCGAATCCAAATATTTCCCATTCAAGCCTATGAAGCTTTTATGAACATTCAAAATGGTTATAGTTCAAAAAGTATATGTGGTATCAAAAGGCTGTATACAATAAACCTATTCCAAGCAACCTTCATGTTTTAAAGTTTGAATGACATTTCTAGCTTAAGTAATTGAAGACTAGTATGTGTACCAGTCTTTTTAGCTAACATTCCACTCCTTGCCACTCCTGTCATTTGCCAAAGAGACTGGCCTTTTGGCAATCTTAACGCTCAATATGCAGCCGGTGCAGTAGCTGATTGGTAGTTGGAAACAACATTCATATTTTCCATGACAACATTATGGAACATGGGCACACGCAAATTTGACGTAATATACACTGAACAAAAATATAAACGCAACATGTAAAGTGTTGGTCCCATGTTTCATGAGCTCCCAGAAATTTTAATATGCACAAGAAGCTTATTAATCTCAAATGTTGTGCACACATTCGTTTATAAACCCTGTTAGTGAGCATTTCTTCTTTAACAAGATAATCCATCCACCTGACAGGTCTGGCATATCAAGAAGCTGATTAAACAGCATGATCATTACACAGGTGCACCTTGTGCTGGGGACAATAAAATGCCACTCTAAAATGTGCAGTTTTGTCACACAACACAATGCCACAGATGTCTCAAGTTTTGAGGGAGCATGCAATTGGCATGCTGACTGCAGGAATGTCCAACAGAGCTGTTGCCAGAGAATTGAATGTTCATTTCTCTACCATAAGTCATTTTAGAGAATTTGGCAGTATGTCAAACCGGTTTTACAATTGCAGACCACATGTATGGCATCGTGTGGGCGAGCGGTTTGCTGATGTC